CTCTGCTCTTCCCCAGTAGCATATTGGACACCTTCCGACCTGAGGGGCTCATCTTCCAGCGTCATATCTTTTTGCCTTTTGGTACTGTCCTTGGGGTTTTCATGGCAAAGATACTGGAGTGGGTTGCCATTTCCTTCTCCAGTGGATCACATTTTGTCAGAACTCTCTACTATGACCTGACTGTCTTGGGTGGCCCTGCACGGCATAGCTCATAGCTTCATTGAGTTACGCAAGCCCCTTCGCCATGACAAGGCAGTAATCCATGTAGGAGACACATAGACATATAAACAATATTAAAAAACCAAGGACCCTCTAAGACCACCCCCATCAACAAGAATACAGACTGAGAGCAAACCCCATTCCTTACTAGTACTGATGATGTTACCTAGTTTGGATAATGAAACATCTGCAAGAAAGCAACCAAGCTCAGAGAACTCCAAGGACTCCTTATTTCGACCCTGAGCTACAAATATTCTTGATATCCAAGTTTACACAGGACAGTTACAAATTTAAATAGTGAGAAAGTGGAAAAGAATTTGTGCTTTTTGATATGTTTCGTTAAAAAAAAAAGCGTAGTATTCCTTGTCAAACATTCAGTTGTAGAATGTATAAATCTGTATAAATTTTCCTCTTTTAAATTTTGTAAAAATTTTATTATAAATTGTCCACTGTTTCAAGAGCTGCATTAGTTGCCGGTTTGCTTCTGATTGCAATTCAAGGCATTGGTTATTATCTATAAAGTCCTGCATGGCATGAGTCCAAGTTATTTGAGGAACCATCTCACTCCTATGGGAGAGTCCCTCCCCACCCATGCCGGCAGACGTGGCATGCTGTGGACCCCTTGAGTCAGGGAATTCTGGATGGTGCATGGACCTGACCCTTTGAAACATCTTGTCCCAAGATGAGATTGGCTCCCACTCTCCTGATTTTCTACAAGAACCTGAAGACTTTGTTCTGTCAGTTGGCTTGAGCTCTCAAAGGGAGAATATCACACTGGATGTGATTGATCAACTCCATATATTCCATTCCCTTCCTCCCCTTCTTCAAGTATGACTTGTATTTTATTGTAAATTTAATGTAATTTTATATTTTTTATATATTTATGGTTTCATTTTAATATTGTAAATCAGAGTCACCCTGTGGAGAGATGGGCAACAAACATATTTAATAAATAAAAAATAAAATTGTAATAAATTATCAGTCCATCTCATCCTCCTCTCCAAAGTCTCGGAGATAAATGTAGCAGTCAAGAGATAGGTTGTCTTATAGAATAGTGATTAATTGAAAAGCAACAAAAGAGACAAGTACCTGGTGCACAGCTTGTATGCTAGAAAAGAAATAAAAAGTGGAATAATCATCTTGTAGAACCTTGGCAGTTTATTTTGATTATAAATTATCTTGAAAACGTTATGGTAACAAGGTCCATGTGAAACCTAACAATTCAGTGAAACCATGAATAGACTATGAAGAGCTTTAAAAAACTTTTCTAAGTTTTTATACTAGAGTATAAAGTACTAGGTAATCTGAGATCCAAAATTATGCATGTCTTTGGTAATCTTAGTTGCATCTAACATAATTCCTCCAAAATATACCCCCAATGACAGTTATAATAGATGTTGACATTTTTAAAAAATATATATTATAAAATGATAGTTTCAATACAGTTCTACTAACTTTCTCAAAACAGGTATCATAAAGCTGAAAAAGTTTATAGAAAAGGGCAACAAAATTATTAATTCACCCAACAATACCTTATTGTCAGGATATACAACAGCTACCAATTAAGTTACATAAAGGCAGGTGGTAACGGAAGTAGTATTACAGGTAGTCCTCAGTTAACCACTTGTTCAGCAACTATTCAAACTGCAACAGTGCAAAACAAGTGGTACAATAGTCCTCAGAGTTTCAGCCATTGAAGCAGTCCCATAGTCACATGATCACAATCCAGGCAACTGGCCCACATTTCCAACCATTGCAGCATTACATGATTGCGATTTGCAACATTCCCTGTTGGTTTCCCACAGAGTCAATGGGGAAGTTGGCAGAAAGTTGGAAGTTGCATTTACATGAGGTCATCACTGAACAACTCGTAGTGGTTTGTTTAATGACAGCAACCAGAGTCTGCTGGAACTGCCATTGCTAAGTGGCATGGTCACATCATGTTACACTTTATTATTGCATTTCTTAGCAACAGCAATTATGGTCCCAATTACTGTTACTGGCGAGGGCTCCCTATAGACTGTTATGTGCTCATTGAGCTTTCTACACTAGAGATCCCCAACTTTTTCAGCACCAGGGACTGGTTCCGTGGAGAAAGATTTTTCCGCAGACTGGAGGGGGCGTGGTTTTGTGTGCTGCCTGCATCTCACAGATGGATCTTTGCTTGTTTGTGCGGACCAGTTGCTGGCATGCTGCGGCCTGGTACTGGTCCACGGACCTGGGGTTGGGGACCCCTGTTCTACACTGTGTGTACAATTATTAGGCAAGTGAGTATTTTGACCATATCATTTTCATGCATATTTTCCATCTCCAAACTGTATAAACTTGAATGCTTAGTGGGTATAAGAATATCAGGTGATGTGTATTTGTGTAATGAGGGAGGGTGTGGCCTAAAGATATCAACACCCTATGTCAAGGTGTGCATAACTATTAGGCAGCTTCTTTTTCTCAGGCAAAATGGGTCAAAAAAGACTCTAAAAAATAAAAAAATGTAAAAAGTCTTTCAGAGGAATGCAGCACTCTTGAAATTGCTAAGATATTGGGGTGTGATCACAGAACCATCAAAATTTTGTTGCAAATAGTCAACAGGGTCACATGAAACGAAAAAAGGTGCACATTAACTGCCAAAGATTTGAGAAGAATCCAAAGTGAAGCTACAGGAACCCATTGTTATCCAGTGCTGTCATATTCCAGAACTGCAACCTATCTGGAGTGCCCAGAAGTACAAGGTGTTCAGTGCTCAGAGACATGGCCAAGGTAAGGAAGGCTGAAACCCGACTACCATTGAACAATACAAATAAGTTGAAATGGCAAGACTGGGCCAAGACATATCTAAAGACAGATTTTTCAAAGGTTTTATGGACTGATGAGATGAGAATGACTCTTGATGGACCAGATGGATGGGCCCGTGACCGGATCAGTAAACGGCATAGAGCTCCACTTTGACTCAGATGCCAGCATGGTGGAGATGGTGTATGGTATGGGCTGGTATTATTAAAGATGAGCTAGTTGGACCTTTTCGGGTTGGAGATCGACTCAAAATCAACTCCCAGACCTACTGCCAGTTTTTAGAAGACACTTTTTTCAAGCAGTGGTACAGGAAGAAGTCTGCATCTTTCAAGAAGGCCATAATTTTTATGCAAGACAATGCTCTATCGTATGCATTGAAGTACTCCACTGCGTGGCTAGCCAGTAAAGGATTTAAATATGAAAGAATAATGACATGGCCCCCTTCCTCACCTGACCTAAACCCTATTGAGAACTTATGGGCCCTTCTTAAATGGGAGATTTACGTTGAAGGAAAACAGTACACATCTCTGAACAGTGTCTGGGAGGCTGCACAAAACGTTGATCGTCCAGATCAAGAAACTGACAGACTCTATGAATGGAAGGGTCATGACTGATTGAAAAGGTGGCTATATTGGTCACTGATTGTTAGGGTTTTTTTTTAAAAGTCAGAAATGTTTATTTGTACATTTTGAGGTGTTTGTTTATTATTCTCACTTTAACAGATGCAAATAAACGAGTGAGATGGGCAAACTTTTGTTTTTCATTTAGTTGCATGATAATTATGCACACTAATAGTTGTCCAATAATTGTGCACATATAGATAGTCTAAGAAAGCCAAAACGTCACTTTTACTTTCTTAAATATTCAGGTTTGAGGTTTATTAACATTTTAGATTGACTGAGAGCAGTCAATAAGAAAATTAATACTCCAAAATATTCACTTGCCTAATAATTGTGTACACAGTGTCTAGAGCTTTTGTTACTATTCTATTTCCTGCATTTTTCCTTATTTCTGTTGTCGCTGCTATCTCAAGTAATTTTCTTACATGTGCCAAGTAAAAATTGTTGAAAATTTCATTCAGTGTTTACTTTGAATTATACTAAGAATGCATTTTGTAGAAGTTGCAGTATTGAATTTGATAGTGGTAGGAGCTATTCTTAAATTTAAACTAGATAATTATTTAGAAGATTAGCTTAGTATATAACATATAACTGAATGCTTAAATTTCTAAGAATGATTATAAAAAGAAATGTGCAGTTTCCTCTACCTAAAATCATTTTCATTATTATAAGCATATGACTGTACTTCTTTCAAAATGATTACATGCATTATAATTGTAGAAAAGTATTTTAATTTTAAATTTTTATGGGTATGTGCTGTTTTATGTATTAAAATGTATAGAGTATTTTAGCATTCTTTCTAAAAAAAACTTCTCACAGTATTATGACCATAGATATTTATTACTGTTTCTTGATATTTTAATTTTGAACCCACAAACCAAATCATGTTGTTGTAGTTGTAATAAACCAGGTACAAAATTTTACAACTGTATGGTCATCCTAAAACATTTAATTCAAACTATCATGGTACAAAAAAAAATAAGGTGGAGTATTCTGGAATACAAACGTTAAATTGGCTACTCTTTTCTACTGTTTAGAAATATGTCACTATAAATCACGGCTTTTGCAAGGCTTTCTAGTTCTTAATAGGTATTTCTTTAAGGCATTCTAGTTCTTAATATTGCAAGTATTCAGTGTTCTTAATCCAGTTTTTTGATCTTTTTTTGATCTTGTTATGTTGCATCAAATTAATTGTATTAGAGTTAGCGCCATTACAACTAATTGTACATTTCAGTAAAGAGTAATTAAAATCCCATGGATCTCTGTTGGAATAGTTTATGTCAGTTATATCTTAAAAGGAAATTGAAAACCATTACAAATAATGGGTGTGGGTAATTTTTTGTTTGTTTGCTTGCTTTTTTCATTTTCCAGATTGGAAAGGTTACAGGAGGTATTGCAGCTGGAGTAATTGATCTCACACTAGATGATGAAGATGATGGTTCTTCTCAAGGTAATTGAAAGGATATACCTGACCAAAGATAGGATTTGGTTACTGGAAGTAAGAATAAGCTATGTTGCAACATATTAATTTTAGAAGTTATTAAAATCAAAAATAAATATTTGTTTATTAAAATGATTTTACTATAAAGTATTATTCAAAACAGAGTTTTATATTTTCATGGTAACTCATGCATGATTACTGCAGCTCATGAACGTCTATGCCTTCATAAATTTGTTTGTCAGGTATTATTAAACACATTTGCTATCAGTGCTATGATAAACCAACATGGCTATCCATTTGGGCTCTTTGTAAAAGATTAAAAGATTTTTTTAAAAAAAAAGTACGCATCAATATAAGATGTGAGTTACGTTTTAATTATTTAGTGTAATTCTGGAAAATGAACTGGGAAAATGAACTACTGCAGTATTATTACACGAGTTTACTCTTGAAAAATGGCAGAAGTTGAAGTTGATACAAAATATAAAGTAGCCAGACTTTTCAGCAGTGTAAGATATGGGGATGATATAATGCCTCTACAAAGTCCAGCCACTAATTGCTTACTAGACACAATTTAAGGTTTGGATGTTGAGTTTTAAAGTACTAAACATGAGTATCTGCCATACTGCCTGTCTTTCTATGACTTGGCCAATAGACAAAAGGAAGGCGTGGCAACCCAAGATAAAAAAGAAAATGTAGGGAGCACCTGGCTATCATGAACAAACTTAAAGAATCCAAGACCAAGCTTGTGGAAGTTTTTTCTTGTTATCTTTGAAAAATCATGGAGAACAAATATAACACCAAAAAAATGTAGTATGACAATTTTTGTTCCTATCTTCGGAAAGAAAAAAAAGCCCAGGAAACTACAGACTGGTCAGCTAGATGTTATCCTTGAACAAATTTTTAAGCAATTGATTTATGGGCATTTAAGAAAGAATACATTGGTAGAACCCAGCATGGGTTTATCAAAAATAAACCATTCCAAGTCAACCTAAGCACCATTTTTAATAGAGTGACCAGTTCAGAAATTCAATGGACATAGTTTACTTTGACTTCAGCAAAGCATTCAACAAAGTGTCCCTTGAAATTCTAGTGGAGAAGGTAACAAAGGATTAACAGGATTATGTTACTATTAGATGGATGCAGGGATTGTTGAACAGTTATATCTAAGAAGTGCATATCAATCTGCATCAAGTTAGATGGAACTATAATGTGAAGCACCAGCATATTCATAAATGTATGAAGTGCTTAGAAAAGATTTTGCAGACAGCACAAACATAAGGAAAATAGTATATAATGTAGATGACATTTTCAGTGTTTGGGAGATCTCTCCCCCTAGCCTACTGACACTAATTGTAGCTGGCCACAAAGAGAGGAGGGGAACCACCACACAATGGTGCCCCTTGCTCCCAAATTTTGCAGCCAATCCATAAGAATACCATAATTGATGACATCAGAATTAACTGAGATATCAAGGAGCACAACAAATGCACTGCCTCTATCCTGGATGTGTCACAGATCATCAGCAAATGTGACCAGTGCTGAATGTGTACTGAAACATAGCCTGAAGCCTAACTAAATTGGGTCTAGATAATTCATCTCTTCCAGGATTCTTTTGGAGTGTCTTCTCAACAGTTTTCACTAAAAATACAGTTCATCTGACAAATTTCTCCTCTTTTTTTCTATTCTTACCGATTAATAATGCTATCTAATATGAATGGCAATAGTTATGTCAGAGAACCCTGACTGATCCCATTATCATTCATACTACGGGAGAATGTTTTGGCATAAAAGATTGAAGATGGAGGCCAGCAAACTTTGCAGAATAATAAGAAAGAATATATATCCTTGTTTAGATTATTTTATTTAAAAAAGGAAGGTGAATAGCAAATGTTCTCCAGAAAACTACTTGCAGTGGAATAATACTAGATATTTTTCCAGATACTTTTTCTGTATTGGCTTTGTATTCCTAACAGATGGCAAGAAGCAGAACCAGAACCAATCTAGCAATTCTGGAATGGGCCTATCAGCCCCATCTGTTGCTCGCCCCTTACATCCAGTACAGACAACCCCTCTCCAACAAGCTGGTGTGCCAACAAGTGGCCTGTCACAAGCCACCATACATGTTCTCCCCACAGGTAATTTAAAAAAAATGTTTTGAAAGCTTTCTGTTGAGCACCTTTGTTGAAGGGGGGAAAATGATCATATTTGATTTGTTAAGAATTCACTAATGCTGGCAGATGAGTCTTTATTGATTTTCCTTGGGGCAGTGTGAGTAACGTCTCTAACATTCAGAACCTTTATCTTTATTTATAGCTATTAGTACATGCTCACATTGATTTTAAGTGACTAATAGTTCATTATAAAAAAATTAATTTCAAAGCAGTAAATTGTTCTAGTTCTTTTAGTGAATAGTGTTTCCAGGTCATTTAGGAACCTTCACAGGTATGTAAAACTTAACCAGCTGCAGACAGATAGGCTGTACCCATGGCTCTTTACTGAAATCTCGGTTGTAACTTGGAGAGAGAAGCAGCTGCTCACTTCTGTTTGTATATTCAGTTCTATGTCCGGATGTATCACCTGAGCAGGATTTAGGGGGTTGTAATCTTTTGTAAGCAATCTTAGGCATCTACTGTATATAGAGAGGACGTTTCATTGTTTCTGTATGTCTCATTTATGGGGTTTCTACCTGCATAGAAATTCATCAGAATCTTTGATAGCAGAGATTGTGTGAGAGACATTGGTCCCATTGAATATGTCTATGACTTAGCTCCATTTTGTCTTAACCTTTTTTAACTTTTTAAACTGCTTTTGGAAGGAATTGTGTACTTGGAAATAACTCACCTGCTCCATTATCTTTTAAACCTTGCAGTTTATGTCTTCATTTTTTCCATTGTTATATAATCTTTAAAAAATATACATGCTAGTTCATTATGGAGGTCCAGCAAGCTGTTATATTGCTTTTCCCACCGTAGCTGTTGCCTGTCATTTCCAAAGCCCTACTTCTGAAAGGTGTACATTATTTTTGCTTTTTCTGTCTTCGAAATGGTTATGCTGTAAAAAATCTGTACACTGCCAGAGGTTAGGACAGACTGAGGTTACCCAACAAATTTGTCTCATCTGCATTCTGACTTCTTTTACAGAAATTGGGATGATCACCCTTCTCAATTTTCCTGCTTGCCATTATGACTGTGGAATTAATATTCTCCACTTCAGAGAAAGTATAACAACAAACCCCTTAATGATTTCAAAGCCACCGCTGTAACTTACACCATAAAAAAGCAAAAAAGATAGATTTATAGGGCCTCTAGTGCTTAGACATTTACCATGCATAAGTATCATTAATGGGATCAGCCTCAGAAACAATTTCCAGTTGCTCCAGTGAGTCAAATATCTGATTATATACAGTTTGTCTTAAAATGTAATGAGCTTCAAAAAAGACTTAAGACAGTTTGCACAATAGTGTAAAACATCTGCAGACTTCTCCTGTATCAGTGAAGCAAGAAACAGCCTCCCCACTTCTTCAGAAGATAGACAACAAGAAAATCAAAGAGTCCTGGTCCTAACAAACTTAGTAACAGAGGGGCTATCCAGTTTCCATTACAGCTAGTCTTTGATTTAGGACCATAATTGGGCTGGATTTCCAGTCGTAAGTCAGTGTGAAGTCAATAGGCTTGAGGTATGAGGAAATCATCACGGAGTTCAAAGCACGAAGTCAATGGAAGTCAAGAGGTTTAAGGCAAGAGGAAGTCAAGAGCACATATGACATAAATTGCGAACAGTTGTTTCTCAAGTCATTCCTGGCCGCTGTTTCTTGCTAAGGGCAAGGTTGCTTTCTCGAGAGTAGTCTCATTGACCTCCACTGTGCCTCTTGGAGTTGAGCTCTCCTTGTCAGCAGATCGGGCGGAGTGGCAGCTGTTCTTCATCAATCGATTTGCCACTGTGCTTTGCCAATCTTTTGTTCTTCTGCTTGCACAGGCGGCTGTTCATCTGATCGAAAGCTCATCCCACTCCCCAACGTTAACTAGGACTGCCTCCATGTTAGTGAAGTGTGCTCCACCTCTCTGGAAGCCTCACATCACCCCTTTCTGATGGTTCTGGCTCGTTCTTATCAGAGCCAGTCTCGGGTGGGGACATAACAGTATCCCCCCTGCATGGCCCTCCTCCCTGGCTCACTGTGGACCCAGTTGCTATGGGTACTTGGTGTAGTATTGATGAATTAAGTGAGGGGCATGGACATTCTCAGCATCTTCCCTGGAAAAGTCTTCAGGGCCAAAGGTGGTATGGCCCTATGATGGTGGCCAGCAGACTATTTGTAGTCCTCATTCACCTTGTTTAACTGACACTTTACAATTTGGTTGTCAACTCCTAGAGAAAACTATTCACAGAAGGTACAGGAGAGTCCAACATCGCTAGAGGAAAAAGACACACATGGATCTGTCATTCACCAGGAAGGGTATCATCTTGGTTGAAGCATGCTGAAAGTTGTTATAAGCAAAATTCACCGCCAACAGGTCCGGGCAGTTGTCTTGCTGTACGTTTACAAAACAACAGACGTATTGTTCCAGGATGGCATGGATCCATTCTATGCATCCATCCGTTCTCTTCTTCTGATGGGCAGAAGAAAGGTAAACCTGGAGTTCCAACTTCTAGAACAGCCACTCCCAAAATGGGGCTATGAAGTGAACCACACAATCTGTCATGACCTAGGTAACCCATGTAATCAAAATATGCGTTGGATGAACAGTTGTGTGGTTTCCGATGTTGTCACAAGTCCAGCACAGTCTGAAATGGGCTATTTTGGTCAGTATATTGACTAAAATCAAGATCATTATGGCTCTCTTGGAATCCAGTAAATTTGTAATAAAATCCAGCCAAACTGCACCCCAGGGCCTCTGAGGGATGGGCAAGGACTGCAACAGTACGGGAGTAGCACCAGTAGTGTTTTTGGCTTATGGACACTCCACACAAGAAACCATATACCCTTCCACATTATGGCACATCCAGAAGCAAGAGCTTATCCTCCGCACAAGCGTATTCAGGTTTTTGAGATCCTGTCTGTTTGCTGATTGTGTCCACTCGGAATATAAGTCACCTTAAAGTTAAAACAGGCGAAGAACAGTGACCATTATTGATTAAGCTTCTGCGCTGTCTTTAAATGTTCCAGGTTTCTATGCTCTATTCAGACTTCAATCTGATGCTGAGTTCCTTCAAGATGAGTCTCCACATTTCAAATGCTAGCTTCATCATCAGAAGCTCTTTATCCCAGATGGTAGTGCTTCTCTGCTGAATTTAATTTGTGGGAGTAATAGAAACAAGGAAATAAAGTTCTATACAGTGCAGCAGCTTGCAGCAATACCAGCCTCACCACAACATCTGATGCTTTGGTCTCAACAACAAAAGGCTAAATGGGGTCAGAGTGTCTGAGGATAGGTTCTGATGCAAATGCAAACTTTAGGTTGTCAAAAGTGTCCTGTTCAGCCTTACCCCACATAAACATGGTCCTTTTTTAAAAAGAGGTTGGATAGGGGCAAAGTAAGTGGGGCAAATTGAGGAATGAAGGCTCAGTAGTAATTGGCAAGGCCCAGGAGGCATTGAATGTCTTTGACTCGATGTGGAGGTTGCCAGGCATGTAGAGTCTTGACTTCCTCAGAGACCATGTCAACATCCTCAGGAGAAATCTGATGACACAGAAAGTCAATTGTGGCTTATGCGAATTGGCATTTCTCGTGCTTTGTGAAAAGCTGGTGTTCCCAGAGATGCTGCAGCACAATGTGCACATGGTCCCAATGCTCCTTCCACAATGGGGTAGACCAAAATATCATCAAGGTATATAACTGCAAATTGGTCCAGTAGGTCTGGAACACATCATGCATAAAGTGCATGAAGACCCCAGGGGCATTGGTGAATCCGAATGATCGTGTTCTCAAAATAGTCATACGTCCAGAAAGCCATTTTCCATTCATCCTCCTTGCAGATTTGCACTAAATTGTAGGCTCTTCTCAGGTCCAATTTCATAAAGATCTTGGCCTGACACAACTTCTCCAATAACTCCAAAATTAGGGGCAAGGGATGACAGTTTTGGATCATGTTGTCATTAAGCCTCCAATAATTGCAACAGAGTCTCAATTCCCCAGATTTCTTTTTCATGAATAGCACCAGTGTGGCTAATGGCGGCATTGAGGATTTAATAAATCTCTTCCACAAATTCTTAGCAATGAAATCTTGAAGAGCGGCCATCTCCAGCTTGGACAGGAAATAAACATGTCCCACCTGCAAATCAGCTCAGTGGGACAATCATACGGGCAATGGGGGGCAGCTGATCAACTTCCTTTTCTCCAAGCACATCCATGCAATCTACAATATCCAGTGGGAAGTCCAAGGGCTCTGCGCCTTGTTTTTTCATAGTGCAAGCATGTAGCCTATGCCCAGTGCATTTGGGGTTTATAAAATCAGTCACCACAGATGACCACATGATGCGTGCAGATCATGCACCTGCAGCCATTCCAGCTCCAATACCAATGGAAAGTGGGGCGCAGTAACCACATAAAACTCCACCTGCTCCACATGGTTACCTAATTGTATATGGGGAGAAGCTATTACCATGACCACCAGTCCCAAATGAAGCAGCCTATCATTGATTCATTGTCTCTCCCAGCAAAGGTGGCACTACTTCATGTTGGGGAATGTCCTGTTTGGCCACAAAGGCTGCATCCATAACATTTGCAGTTGCCCCTGAGCCCACCATAGCCGTGTGATTGTATCTCTGTCCCAGGATGGACAGGAGAACAGACATCACAAGGTGCCTGGATGGAGTGGTTTGGGGTTACTGAGACCGGCCCACTGCCAGGTGAGCTTGACCTATTGAGCCTTCTAGGCTGGGCTCCTTGATGTTTCCCACTGGCAGCTTCCTCACCATGGCAGGACACTTGGCAGCCATATGACCCTGTCCTCTACACTAAAGACAAAGGCCTTCCTGTCACTGACACTCCTTTTCCATCTGTGACAAACTTGAGTGCCCCCAATTTGCATGGGCTCCTTGGGTGTGGCCTGAGCCTTTTAACGTAATGCTGGGCCTGGGTACTATCATGCATCTTCTAACCCTATGCAGCTACAGAGTATCAATGCAAAGGCACAGGTGCATGAGTTCCTGAAGGGTTGAGGGGCATTTGGTGCAGGCCAATTCATCCAGCAGTTCCTAAGAGAGCCTCTCCTGGAATTGGTCAGTGCGAGCCTCTTCATTCCATTTCATGTCCTGACTGAGGAGGCAAAAGTCACTGATACAGTCTACAACTTGTCTTTGGCCCTGTTTCAACTATTACAGACTATGATTGGCAGTTTGAGCCTTCACCGGATCCTCACACTATACTGTGCAAAGGTTTTAGGCAATTGGGCAAAAATGCTGTACATTAGGAGTGCTTTCAGAAATAGAAGTGTTAATAGTTTATTTTTATCAATTAACAAAATGGAAAGTAAAGTAAAGATTTTGATTGAAAACTTTCCCAACAATTGTGACTTATTCCTCAAAATCATAAACCTCTGTTGTCAATCCATTTTCCCAGAAAACTCCAGGCCAAACTGTTTTCCATTTAGGTATAGTCCATTCCCCAGTCACCAACAACCTTCTTAAGAAAGTCCAATTCATCACTCATCGATTTCTGTTAACTCCAAATCTGTAGAATCCATATCCCCTTCAGCTTTCTTCAGAAAACCTGCAATATCCAAACCAAGTTCCTTCTCCTTTAAATCTGCTAATAGCAATTTACATTCCAATCCATGCAGTTGTGAGTTTGGGTTGACTACAGTTGCTTCTGTCTGATTTAAAGTTGGTTTAAAACCCTTGTTATGTTATGAGACGTTTTATTCAAGTTTTCAATTTGAACTTGTAGGTGAAAAAACATTAAAGAATTCACATTAAAATCCAGCAAGGAGTTAAGGTAAATCAGCCTTCAATCAGTCAATTAACTTTTAAAAGAAAAATGAAGATAAAGAAAATTCAAATACAATTAAAACCCAGGTGTGCTTACAGCTGAGAGGAAAGATGAAGACCTGACTATCTGACTGCTTCTACAGGGAAATGCAATCCTCAAGATTCCGAGGGTCATGTTGGGTCATCACTAGCTTTTCCGATTCAGATCTAGAGAGCTGGCTGCCAAAGAACTCGCTTTGGTGGCAAAAATCAGCTGTTGCCAGCAGGAAAAACATTCCCCCTCCCCCCCGGGGCCACTCAACATGTCATTTTGGGGAAAATCCTAATAAATTGATTCTTAAAACCTGGATTAACCTTTATTGTATCATAAATAAGCATGCCATCCAAATCTCAGATCAAATATTTAAGGTCTAACGTTTTTTTGATGTTATCCAATCTTTCAGCCATACCAAACAATACACATTGTAATACGATCTAAGATCAGGCAAAGCAATGCCTCCTCTTTCTTTTCCATCTTTTAAAAGCTTGTATTTAATTCTTGTTTTGCCCCTTAATTTTGGAAATAACCTGCCATTGTTCAAATGAGAGATCTTTGTTCAGAATCTATATAATCTGAAACAGAAATAACATTCCGGGTAAAACATTTCCTTTAATAACAGAGATTCTTCCCATCAGTGGCAAATCTAGTTTGTCCATCTGTGCAAATCCACTTTATCTTATTCCATATTTTTACAGTTACTTTTATACAAAATAGAATTTTTATTAGAGTCACCCCCAGGTCACCTTAGAGTCACTTTTTTCACAATCTTAAACCTAGTTTTATTTTCCAGTTTGCTTTGATCTTCATATTCTTTACCAACATTTACATCTTTTGTTTATTTTCATCCCCGCCAATTCTCCAAATATTTTAAGCTTCCTCATAACGTATTCAATATCCTCCAGTGGATTTTATAAAATCAGAACCAAGTCTTCAGCAAAAGCATGTAACATATGCCTTTACTTGCAGTCCTCTTACTCTGTTATCTTGTCTAATGTGTCTGTTTAATAGTTCCAACACCAAATAGTAAAAGGGATAAAGCAATTAAAAAAACTAAAATAGATAAAACGCCAGGACCAGATGGTTTACCAAGTAGATTTTATACGATGTTTGAAGATTAATTATTATTGATGATGAAAGAATGAATCTAAATCTTTTGTCTTTTTTCTAAAGAATAAGTAAAGGGCAATGTAAGAATCATCTTAGATATAACTGAATATTTACAACAATGCAATGACAAACAGGTTGTATTAATTTTTTTAGACATAAAACTTTTGGTAATCTGAATTGGGATTTTATGTAAAGTAGTTGAAATGGACTTTGGACGAGTTTTATACATTGCCTGAAATTTATATGCGAAGAAGGCCTAGATTATGGACAATGGAGAATTGATGAAACCATATGAGATTCAGAAAAACACTAGACATAGTTACGGTGATGTTATTTACAGAGATTACAATGAAGATGAACAGATAATTTGTCTCTTTAGTGGTTCATTGAATGATCAGTTGTACATTTACACAATTCATCTACTTTCTGCCATGCTGGACTTGTTTCTGATAAATGTTTTACCTCCAGGACTGCTTCATTGAACTGAGAGATTTGAAGGGAAAGTAGAAGGTATACCTCTAGCCATATATGAAGAGTAGACTTTCCATCAAAACTTAGAAATATCAGCTGGAATTAGAAAGTTGCAACAAATGTTTTCATGTAAAGTTAACAGCTCAATTGTTGATTCCCCCCCCCCCAAGTTATAGGGAAGAATAACATTGGAGCCATTTTATGACTGTTAGAAACTTGTGAATCGCCAGCATTTTTTTAATTACGTTGACTGCAGCTTGCTGTAGAAATAACCACACCAACAAATCCTGTTCTAAAATGCTAATGTGATTGGGTTTTTAAACTTATTTGACTCTATATGTTTTCTATATTGTTGTTATGGTTGGTCATGCAGTCAGCCAGATGTTTAGACCTAGGGTAGGCAGATGTTGCTTTATGGGGCTAAAGATACTATTTGCATAACAATGTGAAATTACACCTGCTATTTCTTTAACGTGTTGGTCTTCATACACATAAGTTTTTTATTATTATTTTGCCTATCTCTTAGCCCAGACAACTGTGAATGTAACACATCGCCCAGTGACTCAGGCTACAGCTAGGCTCCCAGTACCAAGAGCTGCTAACCATCAAGTAGTCTACACTACTCTTCCTGCACCATCAGGACAGAATCCCATGAGAACCACTGTTATGCCGAATTCTGGTTTAAGGCAGCTCAACCCACAAAATTCAGGTAAGAAGTCTTTTCAAAAATACATTTATAAGCTGTGAACTGAAACTTATAATTATCAGTTGCTAATAAAAATCAAGATAGTTATAAAATATTTTCAAAATGTAGATCTCAATTTTTAAGGCAGTAATTTTTAAAATTTTAATTTCCAGTGCAATAGTTTACTAAGAAATATGTATGATTTCATAAATGTTTGACATGAAAAATATTTCAATGAAAACTCTTTAAAATATTAAAAAGATTCAATATATTTTTGTGTTGTTAAAAACTTGTTAACAGCACATCACTTTGCAACTTCATTCTTTGGGTAGTGAAACGGGTGGCATATAAATTTAATAAATAAATAAAAATAAACTCAACTTGATTTTTAATTAGATTTTTCTCTCTGATTTCTTTAAAAATAATTAGTGGATTTCTAGATCACATAATGACCACAACCAGTAGTGCCAGGATTGCAATCATTAAACAAAGCAGTTAGCTTTCCGGTTTTGTGCCGTAGCGCACGACTGTGGGATTGGGGAGCTCCGCACCCCACGGCCAATTTCATCCTGCCAGGGGACCTTAAATGGGTCTGAAGTTGCCCCGAAGAGATGATGAAGTAAGAGGGGTGCCCCTATGATAACAGAACATTGGCGGTCGTTGCTTTCGATCCGGGGGAACCTAACCTGACAGGAGAAAGCTAGCTGCACACCAGCATCTAGCCCAAGCTACTTGCAGCCGAAGTCCAAGAGTACGAACCAGAACAACGGTGAGCAGCGTGCTTGGAACTCGTGAGAGTATCGATCTTCTGTCTCTACTCTGTAACCAAGTCCTTGGGAAAGATCCCCAAAGTAAGAAAACCTCTGAACGTGAAGTGAGGGGACTACACCCCCAATCCCTCATATAAGGAAGCGGCGAATTAATCTTTAAGGGGGAAAGAAATATATTGAAATCAAAGTTAAAATACTGCAGTCTGGATAAATCTAGATTATACCTTAAAAGGTTTTGATGAAATAATAATAATAATAATAATAATAATAATAATAATAATAATAATAATAATAATAATATTTTTGTCTGAAAAAGCTGGAAAATAACTACTGACACCTAGTGGAGAACTAGAGCATAGAACATTAACAACACTGACTCAGAAATTGGCAAGACGCCCAGAAAGAAAGAATAATCTGTTCCCTTGAACTTTAAAAACCCCTAGAAGACAGCTGGTGGGAACAAAGAAAGAATACATACTGGGTCATCCATAAAATTAAAAAATGTCTGAAGGAAAAGAAATACTCTGACTGTTGCCTAACTCAAGAATTGTTTACAGAAAAAGAAAAACTTTGACTCTGGGCTAATCTTTTAGGAGGGAATTTACAGGAAGGACTCTAGGTGACTAAATATACTGAACTTTAATTTTGACTGGTTGACAACTGATCCCTGAATAAAAGAACTGTTATAAAATACTGATTTTACTGATACCTTGACAATTGGAAATACAGTGGATTATAAAAACTATATATAAAGATAAGAACTATACAAAATTGGGCTGTTTGGATTCTGACTTTGGCTGGTTTGACAAGGCTAATTGTGGAGACTATGGCATTGATGAAGAACTATTTGAAAGGAAGAGACAACATGGATATTGCATACTTATCAAAAAATGACAGAAAACCACATTCTGAAGGACTTAGCCTGGAATATCAAAGACTTCCAGAAGCAACATTTCAAGACAAGACAAATACCTTCCAGGAGGAAATGTATGTAATGCTACGACAGATACAAATGACAATAGATTTAAACCACAAAATCAAAACCAACTTTGATGACATAAATGAGCACATTTCTAATCTAAACCCACAATCAAACTCACTCAGAAAATGATGGTAAAGAATGAACAAACAAGTTCCAGTTTGCTGACGCAGCCACCATGGACATCTGGAAGGCAAACTCCGTCTTCCGCATCCAGTTTTGCTTCACTGGGGGACCCTGGAAAGGGTCGAAAGTCACCCTGTAGGGGGCGACCAGCAAGAAGGGGACTCCGCTGGATCGCGGGAGAGCGGTAGCTCTTCCGCTAGATCTGGCGCAGCTCTCCAAACAGGCGGGCGAATGATCGGCCATAATAATATGGCTCATCACTAGAGTGCAGACAGCCGAAGTCACACTTACCACCAGGCGCCTACAAAGCAGTATGGATGAGACTGGGTGAGATCTACCTCTCTTAAATCCCATTATCTTCTTTACCTGCATAAGTTGCCTAAAGTACTTCCCCCCCACCTGTGGAGAGAGGAAAGGGGAATTCTCTCCCACCCTCTAATAACAGCGGCGACTGACTATCTAGGAGAGTTTAAAATACTGAAAGAATAACCTGACTTTAACTGATTTTAATTGAACTTTAACCTGATTTTAATTGGACTTTAATTTCCCTAAAGTTTGAGAACTAAAAAATTCCTTATTTTTTATTCTATTTTTATTGAAGATTTGGGTTTTTATCTATAAAAAGAAGTAAAATTCCTAAATGGTATGGGTGACACCTTGTGGCTAAACCTGATATTACAATTTGTTATTGCCTAACAGAGACTTGGCTCACAGCCCAGACAATAGATGAGACTTTTGCAACCTTGGCTGATACCAGCTTTGAGAAGCCCAGCTGTGTCCTATACTCAGTGACAAAACTACTCTTATTCTCTGACTATAAAGCTTTTAATTTTACGCACTATTAAGAAAACATGCTAAATTTTGCATTTATAGCCACAGATGTACAAACAGATAAGCTAGAATAGTAGCTTCTTAAACTTTAAAAGGATGATACCTTCCATCTCTATTTCTCATTTCCTCCCTATCGCTGCCTTGAAATATTAACCAATGTGGTGGTAGTGCTGATGAGGATCATCATCACTCCCGTAAAATTCATGTTAATATCATTCATCACAGCTGTGAACATCTGTTCTCAGACCGAAAGGACAGAGGAATATTTCCACTAAATCTATAGAATGTTAGAGTGCAAGGATGTGATGAGAGCAATCCAGAATTAGGAAGAAGGAAGAAGCTCCATTGGCCCCCAGAGCCGCTGCCGGCTCAGCTCCCGCCAGTTCCAATTCGCCAATGCCAACCACGCGGCGGCAGAGCCCGGCTGTGACGTGCTGGATAGGGCGTTCCGATGTTACTGGCAGCTGCTTTTCCCTCCTGGGTACAAGGAAACAACAGGGAGCAACATGGAGGACCTATGTCCTGATCTTCTCGTCTCCATGATCCAAGCAGGATGCAGTAACTATCCCACCCTTGAATCTCCAGAGGACTATAAGCTCAGCATTTCAGTGGATCTGATGCTTCTCACAGCCACCAGCGTCTGGGGTGCCCTCAGAGGATTGGAGACCTTCAGCCAGCTTGCCTGGAGGGACAAAGATGGGACATTCTACCTCAACAAGACAGATGTGGTTGATTTCCCTTGCTTCCCTCACCGAGGTCTGCTCCTTGATACATCTCGCCATTATCTGCCTTTGAGAGTCATCTTGGAGACCCTGGATGTCATGCCCTACAACAAATTTAACATGTTCCACTGGCACATTGTGGACGACCCATCATTTCCATTTGAAAGCATGGTGTTCCCAGATCTCAGCCTGAAGGGATCCTATAACTCGGCCACTCACGTATACACTGCTAACGATGTGAAGATGGTGATTGAATATGCCCAGTTGCGTGGGATCCGAATTATTCCAGAATTTGACACTTCTGGACACACACTCTCCTGGGGACCAGGTGTCCCAGGCTTGTTGACTCCATGTTACGTATCCACAAAACCCAGCGGGACCTACGGGCCGGTCAACCCCATTCTTAACTCCACTTACCAATTCATGGCTTCGTTTTTTGCTGAAGTTAGTGCCATCTTCCCAGCTTTCTTCCTTCACCTGGGAGGAGATGAGGTGGATTTCACCTGCTGGAGGTCTAACCCAAACATCCAAGCTTTCATGCAGAAAATGCAATTTGGCCAAGATTATGCCAAATTAGAATCCTTCTACATTCAAAGGCTGCTGGATATAGTCTCCTCTTACAAGAAAGGTTACATGGTGTGGCAAGAAGTGTTTGATAATGGTGTGAAGGTGAACCCTAATACAGTCATACATGTGTGGAAAGGGATCCCCGTCACCTTTCAAGAGGAGATGTCTTGTGTCACGGAGTCTGGTTTCCGGACCCTGCTATCCTCCCCTTGGCACTTGAACATCATCTCTTATGGGCAGGATTGGTTGGTAGCATATCGGGTGGAGCCTCTGGCCTTCAAAGGCAGCACAGAACAAAAAAAGCTGGTTATTGGTGGAGAAGCCTGTATGTGGGGCAGATATGTGGATGCAACAAATTTAAACCCAAGACTGTGGCCCAGAGCTGGGGCTGTTGCTGAGTGTTTGTGGAGCAACGAGACAGTTCGAAACCAGCGAGATGCTTATGCCCGTTTGTCAGATTTCCAATGCACCTTGCTCAGGCGAGGTATCCAGGCTGAACCCCTTTTTACAGGATATTGTGAATACGATACACTTTGATTTTACAATTACCTCCTTCCCCCCTCCCCCCAATATCTGTACTATTTTAATATGTGCAGGGAGAATCTTTTTTTAAAAAACCCAAATATTTCAATAAATCACTTCCCTATTAAAAAAAAGAAAAAGAAAACATGGATGAAGATCAGGAACAGACTCTTCATTTGATGAAAGCACTTATTAAAACTATTCTTACAGCCACTGGTGAAATAAGAGGCTACAGAAAAGAACAAGATGTCAGCCCAGATACACAAATTCAAACTTTGACTACAATTAAAGAATCAACTACACAATATAATAGAAGAAGTGAAACAATTAAACACTGTTACAGAAGATTCAACTGATCAACAAATAGAGTTAATGGAAAACCCAGAAAAGAGATTGAAAATATGGAAAAGACCTTCTATAAAAACCAGAAGAAACTTGAGAAACAAGAAGAACAAACTGAAGGGAAGATAAATATTCCAGGACAACTACTCCGAGAGGGGAAAAGAAAGAAGATTTGTTTGCATTTTCAAAAAAATGGCAACTGGATGCCCCCTTTCATTCCAAATAATATGTATAATAACAGAGGGAGATCCATTTGATGATTTGACATTGCAAAGATGGAAGGCGAACTGGCAAAGAAAGAAAGCTAGAATAAGACTGAAGAAAATTGGGGTTTTGACTTATTAGTGAAGATTCAAGGAGACTATACCGTATTTTCCAGTGTATAAGACGACTTTCTAAACCCTGAAAATCTTCTCAAAAGTCGGGGGTTGTCTTATACACCCAGTCGTCATACGCCGGAAAATATGGTACTTTAATAGATAGATGTATATTTTGAATTCTACATTTTGTTATGAACTGAGATAAAGAAAATGTTGAGCATTTAAAACTTGAAAGTATAAATATTAAAAGTTAAAACTGAATATTGATTTGTTCTACAAAGATTGAATGTAAAAGTAATTAAAACATATATAAGCTAAAAATTTATTGAAAAATGTAATGAACATGTTTTATCTAGCTGATATAACAAGAATTGTATTAGCTTAATATGAAATAATAGACATTAAGAGAAAAAGAAAGGAAGCATCTGATGTTGAAAAAAGAAATTCTGAATACTAAGGTTAAGATATTTGGAAATTAAAAATAAGAATGTTATACATATTACTAATTAGATGGTGAGAAATAGAATATGTTTGAATAGATAAGATGTGTACTTTGAATATTAGATTTGTTTGGGAGACAAAAAGCATATATTTTACGCATTCTGTCTTCTCCACTCTCAACAACACTTAGAAAAATACAAGAACTTCCTTGCAAGCAGAATATATCAATTTGGAAAGCTACTTGGCAAAAGAAGAAGGCCAGAGACAGACTCAAGAGTTTTGACTCACCTACTAGATGGAGTATTACATGAGCAAACACTTGTTCGAATATAGTTAAAAGAACAGATAACTTTGGATACAAAGGGGCCTTAAAATAAGAGGGATAAGAGATATAAGTAATATAGTATTTTTTATAATATATAAAATGTAAAAATATTGGGATGATCTATGTGAATGAAAAGTTTGAAATTTAAAGATAAATTAAGTTGAAGAGAATTATGATTAAGGAATGACTGAAATACTGAGGGGAAATTAAGTTTAAATAAGAACTTTGAAAATAGGATATATAGTGATTTAACAAATTAACTTTTACAAATATAAGTGAAATATAAACTGATCAGAAAAGATGTTATAAGTAGATGTCGTAAGCAGTATAGTATTTTTATAACACATGAAATATGAAAACATTGAGATGGTGTATCTAAATGGAAAATCTGAATATTTAGATGATAAATATTGAGAAAATTATGACATAAGAATTGTTTGAATATTAAGGAGAAATCAAGCTTAAATAAGAATTATGAAAATAGGATATATGGTAAACTAATGATTTTTATAAAAACAACACAAGTTGATAAGAAAAAATGTCATATGGACATTATTATTTGTACAAACATGACAAAAAATGTTTATATTTAATCATTTATGTATTGAAAATATTAAGAATTATATTTGTTTAAGGTTGAAGGAGTATACTATTGGGAGAAGGGAAGATCAAAGAAATATACTATTAATTAATATACTAATTATGGAAGTACAAAAATTAATTATTATTGACTGTTAATTAACTACTATTGATTGTTTTTTCAAAATTTATGAACCAAGACAACACACTGTACACTAGGCACTAAAGATTGTTATTGTAAAATATCAATAAAACATTTCTAAAAAAAAAGCATCTCACTTAACAACCGCTTTGCTCAATGACCAAATTCTAATTGTAGACATAAGTCAAGGACTACCTGTGTCTTATTAAAATAGCATGGTTTATAATAGCTTTCCAAAAAGTAAGACATACAGTAAATACGTTGATACTAATGTCTTTTATAGGTGTAACCATGCGAATGCCTCAAACAACAGCTTATGTTGTAAACAGTGGGTTAACTTTAGGATCTGGTGGACCTCAACTCACAGTACATCATCGGCCTCCTCCAGTACATTCAGTAAGTACCGTTATTTATTAAAATGAGTATTTAGAAAAGATGATACAACCACACAGTAGATCAAATGTTTTTATGCAGGGATCACTAATATTTTAAAACTAATTGGGGACAGTACTGTGAAAAGCTTTAATAGATGGAGAAAAAAATAGGTGATGATATCACTGGGGTGGACAGAATTAGAGCCTCTTTGGGGTTCGAGGGGGAAATTTAAGGACATGTGCACATGCAAAGAGAAAAATGTGGTTATTTCTGAGAGCATAAGAAAAAGATCTAGAGGCCACATGTGGGCCACAAATTATTCATTCTGTAGACATTTCTGAAAATTATACAAACACGTTACTATTTTGCTTACAGTACAATTCAAAATGCTGATTTTAATCTTTAAATCCTTAAATTGCTTAGACTAGTGTAGCCTTCTTTTGCAATGACCTGTTTGGTTCTGTAAGAACCCTCCTAGTTTTCATTCCTCCGGAACCCAGCGTTTTTGGTGGCTGCTCCCATTTTCTGGAATTCCTTACCACTTGACAAAGTGCATGATTTTTTTAACTGTTGAGCGATCAATTCATGTAGTCTCTGAAATGATGAAGCAACTTCTTTGCCACCTTCACGACACCACTTCTCTTTCCTTTAGGAGCCATTGCGGCCTGTGCATCCAGCCCCTCTGCCAGAGGCCCAGCAGCCCTCCCGATTGCCTCCAGAAGCTGCCAGCCATTCTTTGCCTCAGAAGCCACACCTGAAGCTAGCCCGAGTGCAAAGTCAAAATGGCATTGTTCTTTCTTGGAGTGTTTTGGAAGTGGACCGGAGCTGTGCCAGTGTGGATAGCTATCACCTATATGCATACCATGAGGACCCAAGTGCCACTGTACCTTCTCAGTGGAAAAAGATTGGGGAAGTAAAAGCCCTTCCTCTGCCTATGGCATGCACACTTACTCAGTTTGTGTCTGGCAGCAAATATTACTTTGCTGTGCGTGCTAAAGACATCTATGGACGCTTTGGACCCTTCTGTGACCCCCAGTCAACAGATGTGATTGCTTCCCAAAGCAGTTAAACTTAAGACATTGAAAGCTTCCATTCTTGCCCCATGGCTGTGGCTTGCTCTAGTTTGAGTTTGTTCTCATGCATGAAACTCATTGTAAAATCTCCTCTATAGAATTATTTTGGACAGCTCTTTCATACACTACAAAACTTACAACCAAAACGGAAATAAATTCATAACCTCCATCAAGAGAGCTTGTATTTCTGATGAAATAGTCTCCTCCCCTTTACTTACAAGCCACTGTACCTAGTAAATAGTGAGTTAACAAAGTCTTGGGAATTTGGCTGACATGTTTCACATGGTCCACTAGTAATATCAGACATTGACACAAGTGCAAAGTATAACAATCAGGTTAGGTGGGAAGCCTGGATTCAGGGTTGTGCTTAGTCCTAGAAGAGTGACCTGTTGTACTTTACAAGACATCTAATCTACTTCCTAAAGGGCAAAGGAACTTATCCACAATCAGTTTTCGAGTCCTTGTACATGGGTCTGCTTATTGGAATGAAAAAGTTCCAGGCAGGCTTGCAATCTATTTGTCACCATAACTTGGTAGTATTTTTAAGCCCACACTAAAGCTAGGTTTCTAGAAAACTTCATTTGCATTTTCAATAGCTTCCTGGTTCTCTTTTTATGACCTTTCTCTTAAAATTTTTTATTTGTGCCTTAAACAATAATTTCAAAATAAATGCAGTCACACTGTGTTCCTCTTTCTTTGCCATCCTTTCAATATTCTGCTCTTTTGCCAACCGTAGAATGTTACAATTTCTCATCGCAGATTCACTTGACAAGTAATGCCCAGGTTTTCTAATAATTCATGCTAAAGTTTACATTACTTATTAAATTTAATCTGTGAAGATTCATCACTCACAACGTTTAGCTGCATCATGCTGTTCTTAAGATGGTAGGTAGCCAAAAAATAAACTTTCATTTTTTAACACACACCCATACCTAGAATTCTGTGTAATAACCTTATGAAAATTCTATACTGACCCAGTCAAAACAACAGAATAGATCCTCCATTTTTTCCAATTCAGCAAAGCTCATGACCACTGAAAATAAATAATCTACACCTGGCATGGAAATCAAAGAAAACTGTACCATACTGTATTCTAGAGAAAAATAGAACATACATTATCTTCCTGGTTGACAATTCCTGTTAAATACTGAGTGGCAACTCTTCACTGCATTGCTTGACACTTCCTATTACTTCCTGTTCTGAAATTGATAGGGTTGGAATAGAAACACAAAGTTCAAAAGGCAGTCAGAAGCTAGCTTCGGAAGACAGGGTCTTAATTCTGTTTATATGGGAAGGTGTATTTCAGTAAAGAAAAATCATAGTCTTGTGGCATTTTGTGTCTTATTTTTCTCAGAATTATGTGGAAACTTTTGCTTGTCTCTGTAAGTGGTGTAGTCAGAAACTATTTTTGAGCGGGTGAATTTTGTTCTTATTATGAATTTCGAATCACAATAGCAGGTAATTAGCATATACTCTCACATTTTCTTACTACCTTCAAAAATTATCTTGATATAAAACAACTAGTTAACTAGAAACTAATCTCTGAAATGGTCACCAATAAGATTTTTATTATATACTGAGGGAGGGGCATATTTAGCCCTTTTCTATTTGAATGCTGAAAAATGCAATAGACAGCCAATCAAAGGGATCAGAAATCACTGGAAGGAGCATTTAATTACAAAAACATACTTTTATTTTTTTCAAGAAGCATTGGATTCCTGTTTAATTTGGCTGTTCCTATTGTTTGTAGCCAATATATTGTTACTTGCCCTTCTTAAAAAAATTTTTGTACTTGGATAATAAAATCAAGCCTGAGAACATCTGGGAGTAAAGTATACTTTCATAAGGTGTGCAACTTTCTTTTTGAGGTTAGGATACTAGGACTTACAACTTTAAAAAATGGCATAAGAAGTCGTTCAAGAACTTTCAGTTCCAGTTTCCAATATCAGATTTTGTTCCATGTTCAAGTAAGTTTGCAGCAGATGTTAATTTCAGCACTTCTTAAATTAGCATTTTGGAGGGTAGTTGTTAGCCTTCAGATTTATGAACTGCAACTGATAGGGTAGGATGCTACATTTTCCAAAACAACATGCCTCACAAATTATATAGAGCAATATAGAGTAAAGCAGAAAAAAAATCTTATGTGTAAGTAATGGCAAACCACATTATATTTTTTATTCTGTGCTTAATTCTCTGCCTTTGTCCCAAAAAAGACATCTGAATCTGTAGATACTATTATGTCCTTGCAACAGATAATGGAAACTATTCTTTTTCTATAAACTACTATAAACAGGATTGCATGGCAACAAACTGGACTGATGCTGAATTTTTATTCTGTGCTCATTGAGAAACTGCATCCCACTCAGCATTGCGAGCTTGTTATAGTATGGATAGAAGAGATATTTTTTGAAAGACCTTAAAGAAGAAAAGAAAATTACACTGTCTACATTGTACTATATTAGTATTTTTTTCTCACCATACTTATTTCACTGCAGTGTATGTCTGGCCCAGCTTAGAGATTTTTTTCTACTATAATTTCACTATGAAACTAAAGTTTTATATATAATTCAGCAATGTTCTGCTCTTTAATACTGAGAATGCAGCTACTAGTGATATTCAAGTTCCATTTCAGAAGAAACTATAAATTCTGAAAGTGAGCTAGATGATTGTTATCTGGGTCTGGAACTCTTGTTAGTTTATTTCTGTTTTCAATTTTTTTTCTAAATTACAATTTATACAAAAAAAATTGGTTGAATTTAGATTGTGGAGAGAGGAAGAGATGCAACATGTGCTTTTTATATTAGCAACTTACTGGCAGAGGATAATATGTTCAGTGATACTAACAAACACCCTAAGAATGCTGAACAAAAATGCTATGTTTAATGCTTACTGAAACTACCTGATTAATTTGTATTTTCAGTGTGTTGGGCAATTTCTGTAAATTATACATAAAAAGACTAAAGGTAAATTGTGACAAAATGTCTGAGAACAACCTACTAGAATTAGAACATGGGTTGTACTACAATAAATTAAATTGGTCCGTTCATTGAATGTTCAACTGATCAAATCAATTGCTATTACTTGCCCAAGAGTTCTGTGACTCTAGAATCCATATTACATGTAGAATTAGTGCTTCAGTAGTTTTTATATTTATTCCTTGACTCGCAATATCACAGTATTGGCTAGGAGAACTACAACCAGAATGTGAAATTATGTTATGATGATGCCATCTTACACTTTCTTTGTATTCTCATTCATTCAGTGGCAAAGATGTTCATTTTGCATATGAAATCTTGCTGTTTTGAAGATCTTCATATTTGGGTTGTATGAAAATTGGATAACCATATTTTTAGCAGTATAGAAGTTATGTTGAGAGTAATGTACAAATATGCAAGAGTGCAAATCTAAATGTTCTACAGTATTATCATTGGATCTCACCTATATTTTAAAGCAGAATGATTGGTTTCTTACCTTCTTGTGCTAGCTTGAAAATATATTTTAAGATTAAGTTTAAATTTTAACTGTAAATAAAACAACTGGACAGCCAAAACCTGAGGTACTCTTTAGACCGGTAATTTATAAGCACTGATAAATAAACTTACACAAAACTCCTTATAGAAATTTGCACTCTGATTTTTTTTCCCTCAACAGATGAACATGTAAATAATGTAGGCTGTACCAAAAAGTCCAGTTTAAGCAGGACAGTGGCAAGTTCTCCTAACTTTTATATGCATTGTAGACTAGTGTCTGTATATGTGTTAATTGTAGTGGGGTTTTGTCTTGATACGCCTGAAATTTATACTTTGAAATAAACTACTGGGTTTTTTAACTTTTGAGTTTTGTGTGATTAGTTTGGAAGATAAAAAGAGCATTTGGTTTAAGGAATGGAAATAACAGTCCAGAATACTTGCTTTCAGAGCATAAAGTAATATTTATTAAATTTATATCCATCAACTGACAGTCTCAATGGTTTACTACACTGAAGAGCAAAATGAGAGTATAAAATAAAACATCAATGGTAAGTCTAAAATAATTTAAACCAGACATGCTGTCACTCATCATATATCAAATGATTTCAAACATTTGAAAGGTGAGATTGATGGCATACAAGTTTACTAGATAAGTTCCCCAGAAAGCTAAAACATGGGCAAATCAAAATTCTTAAGAGAGGTTTGTTCATAATATAAATGTTAAGGGGGAAAAATTGTCTAAAAGGCTCTACCACCTGTACTTTGCAGATAGGGAATATCAGTCTTCCTGGGTTGATTCTACTTGGAGAAAGTAGTTCTGCAAATAGTTTTGTGCCAAGCCATATAGGGCTGCATAGCTAACAATAAGTACTTTGAATCAGTAGAATTATAGAATCCTAGGGATGGAAGGGATATTGGAGGTCTTCTAGCCCAACCCTCTGCTCAAAACAGGAGCCTTTTACCATCCTAGCTAAATGGTTGTCCAGTCTATTTTTGAAAACACCAGCAATAGAGCACCCTCAATCCCAGAAAGCAAACTATTCTGCTGAATAATTGTTCTCGGTGTCAGAAAATTTCTCCTTCTAGGCTGGATCTCACTATCAAGCTTCTGCAAATCTTGTCCTGCCCTCTGGTACCTTAAGAGAATAAGTCAATCCCTTCTTCTTTATGTCAGCCTCTCAAGTACTGGAAGACAGTTATCATCTCTCCTCCCCATCCCCAATCCTTTTTGATAGGCTAGACACAACTGTTTGGCATACGATTTAGCCTCCAGACCCTTTGTCATCTAGAGCAAAGCAGAATAAAATGCTTTATTTGGCCAGGTGTGATTAGATATACAAGGAATTTGTCTCTGGTACAAAAGCTTCTGGTATACATGCAAAGCAACAGAGTAATAATAATCATAATAATGATACCAATAAGGGCAGTAAAGAAGATGAGAAGGATAATAATATTACTACACCCTTACAACATGGGTGAATAAATGTAGACAAGACAGTACTGTGAGGATTAGAGTGATGGTATGAAGGGAAAAAACTGTCCCTGTGTCTAGTTATGGTATACAATGCCTATAGCAGCCTCCCAAGGGAAGTAGTTGAAACAGTTTAGGCATCTGTAGTTGAGGGGTCTGTAGTTATTTTCTCAGTCCTCCTTCTGACCTGGGCAATATACAGGTCTTCTGTGGAAGTCAGGTTGGTTGCAATTGTTTTTTCTGCAGTCTGTACTTATCCTGTTTAGTTGCTGTACCAAACCAGACAGTTATAGAAATTCAAATGACAGATTCAATTATTCCTCTGTAGAACTGTATCAACAGCTCCTGGGGCAGTCTGAGCTTTCTGAGTTGACGCAGGAAGAACATTCTTTGTTGTGCCTTTTTTGATGATGGTTCTAATGTTAGGTGTCCATTTCAAATCCTGGGAAATTATACTACCCCAAAACCTGAAAGATTCTACTGCTGATACTGTGCTGTCAAATAAGTAAGAATAGGAAGAATAGAAGAATAGGAAGGCTCCTCCTAAAATCCACTTTCATCCCTACAGTTTTAAGCATGTTCAGCTCCAAATTGTCCCGGCTACACCACAGGGCCAGGTCAACCTCCCATCTATATGCAGATTCATCACAATCTCAGATGAGACCAATGACTGCTGTATCATCTGCAAACTTTAATACTTTAACAGAAGGATCCTTAGGGATACAGTCATTAGTATATATAGAGAAAACAATGGAGAGAGCACACAGCCCTGAGAGGCGCCAGTGCTAATTGTCCAGGTGCTCTATATGATTTTCCATAGCTTCACCTGTTGCTTCCTATCTGTCAAAAAGCTAATAATCCACATACAAGTATGGACAGACACAGCTAGCTGAATCAGTTTAGAGTTTTTTTTCCTGAAATGGTATTGAATGCCAAGCTAAAGCCTACAAAATTGACCCATGCATAGGTCCCTGGGGATTCAAGATGTTGCAAAATATAGTGCAGTTCCATATTGATAGCATCATCTGTCGATCTATTTACTAAAGGGATCTAATTGCAAGGAGTCTAAGAGTGGATCTGTGATGGTTTTCAGGTGGACCAGCAGTAACATCTCAAAGTGTCTTCATAACTACAGATGTCAGAGTGACTAGTCCGAACTCATTCAGCTCCCCAATGGAGAGTTTCTTGGGAACTGAGATGATAGTAGAGCATTTGAAGCAACAAGGGACATAGCACATATCCTGTGATTTATTAAAGATACGGGTAAAGATGAGGACCAGTTGTTCAACATAGGTTGAAGGAGTTACTCCATCTGGAACGGTGTTTTTCTAATCTTGTTTGTTCTTCTCTGCACACTTTCCAGACTCAACATCTTTTTTGTATCATGGTGACCAGAACAGGATGTAATATTTCAAGTATGGCCTCACATTCTGTAAAATGGTATATCATTTTTTGTTGTCTTGACACTATCCCTATGTTGATGCAGTCTAGGATTACATTGGTTTTTTTGGTACTGCCAACATACTGCTGGCTCATACTTAAATGATGGTCCACAAGACCTAGATCCTTCTCATAGTTACTACTGTTGACTCAATTACAGTTCAGGTACTGTACTTGACAGTGGTAGGCAGCCAGTATAGGGTTTGGAGTTTTAATATGCTCCTAATGGCAGTTATTAACCAGGGCACTGCATTCTGAATTAATTGAAGGTTCTGAATGATCTTCAAAAACATCCCTAAGCAAAGTACATTTGAAGTAGTCCAAGGAAGTGATGAAAGTATAGAAGGCTGTTGCATGGTTCTTTCACTCCTGATAGGACTCTAACTACTGCACTAACCAGAACTGGGTGAAAGCATAAATCTGGTTACAGTCTTCAGTTGCTCATCAAACAGCCATAAGTCCAATAGGTTTCTTGCATCCCAACCTGCTCTTTTGGAGGCAATGCCAAATCATCAAGAGACAGTATCAGAGAGCTATTATTTTTCAGCAACTCTACCCTGAGATTGCTGGAAATCTCTCTAAGCATCTGCCAGAATTCATCTAGAATCAGCAGTCACTTGCAATACGTCATCCTAATCAGGCTATTTGCTCCATAGAAATCATTTATCTAAAATGAACAAAATCCAAGGGCTATATATGCTATTATGCCCATACCTACTTGCATATATCAGACTTTCTCTTTCTCATAAGAAGCCACGGGTAAAATCAAGGTATATCCAGATCAGTTTATTTGATATGGCAGAAAAAATGTAAACACAATTTTCCTGCATATGTTAAAATCCTCAGATACAGATTATTCACAGCACTGGTTTCATAGTAACAAAATCAAAGTTATATGACTCTGGTAGACCCTGGTGCTTTGTCTTGTTGAAATGAACCCAGCTGAAGACAGGTAGGCCTTTCTCCACAGGTGGGCCATTGATGGCATAGGCTGTAAACTTTGCAGCCATACTGATATCTGCTACCTATACAAAATTTTAAAAAAGAGAAGAAAAGAAGGGGTAGATGGATATTTCACAAATATAACATTCGCAAATTATTTCTGAAATTTCCTTCAAATATGATAGGTCATTTTAATTCATGCTTTTTCTGATTTCTATGTGACATTAAAAGAAAGCAAAATCATTCAGAAATGTCCCAGGACAATCCAAACCATGTTAAGTGAATCACATATGCCCCAAACCAGGCCCCTTTATTCAGCAAGGTGAATTGAAGACCAGAATGGAGATACTGAGTTATACATTTGATATTGGTGAGATATGATTTTGTGTATTTTAATTCTGTGTAAAGCAGGGAGAGAGGCCTGAGTAATTTCCTACATCTAAATAAAAAGGGAAAGCTGGCACATGAGGATGCTTGACAACAAATTTGGATTCATCCAGGTTTTATCTTGAGCTGACTTTATGAACAGATTATCTATCAAATATTAAGCCATGTTCCCTAACAATGAAAGCATGGTGAGATTTCAACAACCAACCTCCTTAGTGAGAGAATCTTAACAATTGTCCTATGCTGTTTCTTCTCTGACCCAAAGATACCCAGTCTTGTAATGTGTTGTACATACAGCTATCTTTGAAAACCATCCAGAACCAACAACTGGTAGTGTAATAATAATGGGAATCTCTTGTGATACCCATGTGACACTTTACTTCATGAGCTCCACTGACTGGCTTCTGGGTATAATTCAGGTTGCTGGTTATCACCTATGAAACCCCTCCTAGCATAGGACCAGGATATTTGCAAGGTGGCCTGCTCCCAACAATATCTCTCCTTGCCACACATTGCAATTGGAAGGGCATATCCAGATCCTTTCTTTGAAATAATGTCATATTTTGAGACCCTGAGATGTGCCTTCTCAATGGTGGCCTTTTTTGGAATAATCTTCCCCTCAGCATAAGTTGGCTGCAACCTGCAAACCATTACAAAGAAGGTTAAGACCAAGCTAATACCGCAAGCCAGAATGAGTGGAGTCCCCATCCATAGGAGTTATACTACACTTCAGCTGTGTTTGCCATTTATTGCCTATATGGTTTTAATAATACAGATTGGTTTTTTTCTGTTTGTTGGTTTTGTCTTTTTCTTTCTTTGTTCACATTTTCCCCATATTTCAATTAACTCCTTTAACTATTTCCTCTCACAATTCTTGCTATTCCTCTTTTTGACATCCTGAAGTAAAAAGTGAGTGATTACAAATATCTCAATGTTCTGTTTCTGTATGAGTCTTCTGTACTATTGCAAAATAGATGGATAAAAACAGTGGTGGGATTTAGCCAGTTTGCACCATTTCGGCAGAACCGGTAGCTAATTTTTTATTGCCCAGGCCCAGAATGGACTTCTACACAGAGAACCAGTTGCTCACATATTTGAATCCCACCATAAGATAAAAATGATAAGTCAATGTTCAAAATTTCTGAATCTTCCTTCCAGAAAACCAAACAGACTACAAACATGAATGAAGGTAAATATACATGTCCCACAATAACGTTGCAGGGTCCAATCTGAGTCAGTTACCACGACCAAAGGTTCATTCTTCCAAGCTTTTGGGCTCATAGTGGCTCCCCCATGATGGGACTCCAGCACAAGCCTGAAAGCTTGGGAGAATAAACCTTTTGTCCCTTTTGTCAGTTTGGATCCTGTAACCTACACACAGGTTAAGAATGAAGACTATGATATTACTTAGTCAAAATTAATTTCTCAAGAATAGGAGTGGCTACAGCTCTTCCAAGGGTTGCTAAACTACAATTCTGAACATCCTCCACAGTTAGCCAGGCTGGTTAGGACTAAAAGAGACCCCTTGCCTCTATCTTAAAGGAAGAATTAAATTTTATACTGTACTAGTCTGTATCGTGAAGCTGGAATGGGCGGTGGCCAAGGTGAGGCTAGCGGGGCAGCGGCGGGCGCTGGCAAGGTAGCTCGGCGTCTTTCAGGTCCTCTTGCCTGGCTTCCGTCTGGGAGAAGCGCAGGGCCAAGGTAAAAAAAAAGCCTGGCGAAACACTCCCGAGGGGTAGCGTTGATCTGTAGCGGGAGGTGAAGAGGGCAGGTGGGTGGGTGGGGGTCAACCAGAAGGGAACCGGGTCTGATAAGGGCGAAAGGTGAGTGAGGTTTTCCCCCTCGCCCCTCACTCCACCTCCCTTTGTGCAGTGGCATCTCTGGCTGCTGCCTTCCCAGTCACCGAGAAAGGGAAAAAAAAGAGCCGTGAGCGAGTTCCCCTTTCTGCCTCGTTGCTGAAAGCTTTTTTTTTTAAACGACCGCTCGTTCGGAACTCCTCGGGGCTTGTTTGCACAAGCTTGTGGCAGATCAGTAAATAAAGGGGTGAGGGAGCCAAACCGTCCAAGGCGTTTGCACCCTGAACGTGTGGACGCTGCTTTCATGACTTGCCGCCACCACCTCCTTTCTTCCCGCCCTGCTCGGGCAACGCGCTGCTGCTGCTGCTGCTGCTGCTGGCTGAGCTGAGCTGTGGCGCCGATCCGATCCCCACGCCTCCTGGTTGCCCAGCCACGCTCTGCCCCGGCCGCCCTCTGTGCCGTGCCTGAGCCTCCCCTGCGCCACCCGGTCCACCTCCCTCACCGTCGGAGGGCATCTGTGTGTGTCTCCAGACCTTACTGGACTACCATCCCCAGCAGCCCTAAAAAGCACTGTGGAAGAGTGGGGAATGCTGGGAGTTGCAGTTCATCACCATCTGGAAAAACATGACTCTCCAAAGATCATTCCTTCCTTCCTTCCTTCCTTCCTTCCATCCATCCATCCATCCATCCATCCATCCATCTTCTTCCCTTCCCCTTCAATCTCTCCTTGCTTCCTTGCTTCCTTCCTTCCTTTCCCCCTCAGTCTCCTTCCTTCTCCATCTCCTTCCTTTCCCCTTCAATCTTCCTTCCTTCTTTCCTTCCATCTCCATCTCCATCCCTTCCCCTTCAATCTCAATCTCTCCTTCCTTCCTTCCTTCCTTCCTTNCTTCCCCCTTCAATCTCCTTCCTTCTCCATCTCCTTCCTTTCCCCTTCAATCTTTCTTCCTTCCTTTCCCCTTCAATCTCCTTCCTTCTCCATCTCCTTCCTTTCCCCTTCAATCTTCCTTCCTTCCTTCCCCTTCCCTCCCTCCCAACATTTTTGAGCAAGGAAGAATAAGCTTCTCCAGCAAGCATTGCTATATTGTTTTTGTGATTAATCACTATGCTTTAATTATGTTCAATTCGTAACAATGAAAATACACCCTGCATATCAGATACTTACATTACTATTCATAACAGTAGCAAAATTACAGTTATGAAGTAGCAACGAAAATAATTTTATGGTTGGGGGGTCACCACAACATGAAGAACTGTATTAAAGGGTCGCGGCATTAGGAAGGTTGAGAACCACTGCTTTAAAGGAATGTTTACCTTAGAATCATAGCACCCAGCTGGAACCGGAGTCCTGTGATCCAAGTCTTCTCGACAGCAAATGGTATTGCAGGGATCGTGTTTTGTGTATGGATCTTCCTTATAATCTGGAAATAAAGGGGAGAGGATAAGTTTTTGCTCTCTTGCTTAACCATGAATGAACCTTGTATCTGTACAGTCAGAGGTTTGTCATTTGATTCTTGCCTCTCCTTCAAAGAATTTGGAGCCAATTTTGCCACCCTAGTTGGATTTTATCTATGGAGCAGGTTAGAATAAGAGACTAGAAAAGAGGGTCTGCTCTGTGTAAAGATAACTAATTGAAATTTGGCTCCTATCACTCATGAACTTGGAAAACATATCTAAATGTATCTAAAATATAACAAAGTAACAGCTTTGTTCCTTATGCCATCTGTCTGGTAAACTCACAAGATTCGTTTTTCTCACCATGCACATGTATGGTATATGCATGGTGGTATATAGTATATGCAATTTTTTTGGTTCGTATTTATGTAGTGTATATTGGAGGTGGTGACCCTTTGAGACCTGTATGCAATGCAATTTGATTTTAATGTATGCTGATTAGTGTACATTTAAAGTGACAATAAAGTTTTCTATTCTATTCTATTCTATTCTATTCTATTCTATTCTATTCTATTCTATTCTATTCTTCATCAGGCATTTAAAATTCAACATTTCTTTCTTTATTTTAACAAGAGTCAACAGATAATGGCCAAGAGTTTCACAGTTTAAGTTTGGGAAAGTTGACCTCATACTGTTATTGCAAAACAAATATTTGTTAATGATTTTTTTTATTATAGAAGAGAAAACAATCTTAAAAAATCAATAGAAAAATTTAAAATGACATACTATTATATCTCATGATGGACTTCATGGACTCTATATCAGTTACTTTTCCTTGGTCCCGTCGGAAGATTTTAGCTCTTGGAGCCATTTCATAAGAAAACTCCAAACCATGCCTTCGAACATATTCTCCATATCCACTCATATTGTAAATTTCTTTATCGAAAGGGATGTTGTAGGAAGGCCAGTATCCTGTCAAAACAAGGCTTTATCAGTAAATGAGTTCACCTGGAGCTTTTGTACATTGCTTGAATTCAGCTGCAAGTAGTATATGTCAAAATTGAGCAGCCCTCTCTCAACAGAAGGGGAGGGATATGACATCTCCAGTCTACAATACAGTCCTTTCAACAGTTCCAAGAAGGCTCCACATACATTTGCATCACTCAGGTGACTCTGAGGACACAGATAAGCCTCCAGATAGCATTAATGACTTGCTAAAAGAATGCAAATGAACAGCTGTCTGCAAGGAGTATAACTCTTTCCATTCCCCACCATCCAACCAGAGCTGAAGAAGCTTCTTGGATGAAAAGCTAAATGTCTTCAAAGAAAAAACAAGAAAGTCCAGTTGCCTCGTGAAAAAAGCAACTTTGGGATAACTATGACCTGGATGACTGAGAATCTCCATAGACACTGAGTCTGAACAGAATGTGAGCCAAACTAGCACAGTAGAAAAATTTCATAAAAGAAGGTTTCATTTGGCAAAGCTGAAGTATTTAAGGAATTTCAAATTAATCAAAAACTGTGGATTTACATTGTCTAACATCTGTAGCACAATGGATATTTGTATTTAGTGCTAAAGTGTCACACATGCATAATTATTTCTATAAATACAAATTTTGAATTCCTGATAAATTGCAATTACTAATGTTGGGATTATTTGCAATTTCTATTAGGAAGTTTAAGCTGAGGTTATTTATCTTTGGCCCTCTCCCGTATTCCATTATTCTAAAACTCTTACGTATTTACCATTACGAAGAACTTTTGTTTGATCAGAATATTTTACAAGTTTGGGAACCTGTTCAATGATATAAAGAGTCCCATCTTCAAGGCTTCTTTGTAATTTGATCTTTTTTGTATCGAGTATCATATACTGGTTATTGTAGGTACCTAAAGAGCAGTGAGAAAATAGTTAAATCTTTACTGCACTTCCCCCCCATAGAACCATGGGTGAAAAGATTCCCATTCAAATATACCAACCAGAATTTTGTTTTTCAAAGGTTTCGGCCCAGGTCTTTCCTGAATCTGCCATCATATTGGCAATACGGACTCTCTCCCATGCAAAGAGGCTCTCGGGTACCACTTTTTTAAGAAGAGAAAGGTTGAATACACTGTTTGTGGTCTGCAACATAATCAATCCACTGCCAAGTATGTAAAAGTCATCAAGGGAAACCAAAAAGCCTGAAACAAGAATTTTCAAAAAGTTTCTTATTCAAAAAGAAATCCTTCATATTTTTTTATTCTAATGCTTTATTTCCAGAATGAAGGAAATTAAATGGATAAAAACAAAGAATCTACAGCAACAGCAGCACCAGAATCAACTGATTATAAATGAAAGGAAACTAAATTCAGCTAAATGATATATTCAACAATGAGACTCTGGAAGTGGTGAACTTTTCTATACTGGACCTATCTGTGAAGAGATTTAAAGTTTATCTGTCATGCATTTTACAATTGTTTCTAGAAATGTGGATTGGGCAGGACTGGACAAGTCTCCAAAGAGGCTTTTCTTGCAGTCTCTCCAACACAACACAATCAGATAAAGACCTTCTCAGTGGTGTTATTTATATGGAATCATTCATTTGCACAACATGAATGTCTTTTCAATCAGAATAGAGTTGGAAGGGATCTTGGAGGTCTTCTAGTCCAACCCCCTGCTCAAACTGGAGACCCTATAGCAGTGATGGTGAACCTTTTAGAGACCGAGTGCCCAGAAAATATAGAGGATGGTATACTCCAAATATGAATGGGGAGAAATTTGTTTGGTTTATGTCTCTAAGCTCAGTGTGTATATAGAGCTCCAAACTGGAAAAGGCTATAGCTTACAGACAAAGAAACACATATGGCATGTTTCACTCATCTAAATTACCTGGATAACTGCTGAAAGAGGCACGTCCTGTTTTTGTCTGTGGATCAGTAATTTTGAAGTCCAAGTGTTTATATATTCTCAAAGTGGCAGCATATGTGAACCAACTAGAATGAGCAAAATAGATATTCTCATACCCAGGGAGGACCTGAGAAAAAGAATGAATTAATTATCTATAAATAACAGACAAATTGCTTTTGTTTTTCTTTTATGGAACTTAACATTTAAAAAATCATATTATTAATTGTTGCTTAGTATTTTTAACAGCCTGCATGCAACTAGTGGTGTGAATTAAACAGTAGTAGAAGAACTGACTTTACACAATTTTGAAGGTGTTGCAAAAACTAAGGATTTAGAGAGAGAGAGAAAGTGGGGGGGGGGTTTTCTCCTGCTGCTATCCATTGGATAAGAATAAAAAAGAAAGAATGGAGGGCAGGCGGGCCCCCACTGTATTCAGCAGACCTACAGAACTGAGAAGTCATGAAAACTTTTCAAATTAGCTTTCTTAGCATGCCTTGCACAGATGAAATTAGGACACCATCACTGGCGTGCTTGTGTGTGAAAATTGGCAAGATGGCAGATGCAATGGTGCAAACCAAGCCCACCTCTTTTGTACATGTGAGGTCTTATCTAACCTCAGGTGAAGATCTGTTCAAAGGAAAGGAATAGCAGTTGAAAAAGGCTGCCTACATGGTCCCTGATGATCATACCCTTTCAAAGACAGGACATGATGGCTGTTTATACCAAACGATTTTATTGTACAGAGACTGTAATGGTATGTAAGAATGACTTTGAGAGACAGGGGAAGGAACACAGCCCAGGGAACCCAGCAGATAGGAGGTAGTTTAGCCTGCAGCAGGGATGTGGGTGTGGCAAGCATCTCAGAAGGGACCCTCCCTAGTTTCTTGGACTGTAAAAGCAACAGGGGAGAAATGTACTTTCAGACCTGCAAGATTCTGTTGATGTAATCTTACAATAAAGTAGAATTAATTCATCTGAACTTGCTTCCTTTCTGAACTTTCTGTCAGAGACCCCTAAGAGCAGGCAATCTCAAATTTATCCAGATCATTAGCTATATCAGGCTTTAAAATGCCAAATAAAACCTTGAATTAAATGTGAAAGCCAATGAGTAACTAGTACAGCTCTTGCAGTGATGGTATTATCTGAGATAAATAAGAAGCACCCATAAGACTCAAGCCACTGCATTCTGGACCTGCTATAGCTTTCAAGTAGTTTTCAAAAAAACATGTAAATTGCATTACAATTGTTCAGTCGAGAAGTTACTGTGAACTGGTTTTCGTGATCTGGGAATGTTTGGAATTGAGACATAAAATGGAATTATGTAAAGGCCTTCCTAGTCACAGCTGACACCTGCAAACCGAAATGGACCCTCAATTTATGAACCTGTCCAGTCCAGAGGAGTGCAACCAGAACTATTAATTTATTTACCTTTTTTAAGGCCACCCATCTCATCATAATGGCTCTGGCTAGCCAACAACAATTAAAAATAATGCAACCTAAATAGCATAACAATCAGTGCATATTCATCAGACAGGGTAAAACTAGAAGCAACATTAAAAACCAACATTGAAATAACCATTTTATGGGCTTTGCCATACATCTGAACCCCAAGAATTTAAAGAAATAGAATCTTAGGACTGAAGGAACCTTGGTGATCATCTAGTCCAGACATGTCAAACTCGCGACGTCACGTGATGTTGTGCAACATATCAGGACTATTTTGCCATTGACGGCAATGAGGTGGGCGGCAGTTTGACACCCCTGAGCTAGTCCAACCCATTGTTCAGTGCAGGAATCTAGCTCCAAAACATTCGAAAAACAAATGTATGTCTTAATTTCTTCAGTATATTCTACTGTGCCTGCCATTTAATGCCAATCTGTTAAAAATACATCTAAAATTTATGGTTTCTCATGCTACCTAGTAATGTGTGAAACTTTGGTTTCCCTAATTTCATGTTGGATTCACATCCTGCATTAAATTGAAAAGCCTCTGATTAAATAGAATTAGGCTACTTTTAAGATGTTGAAAGAGATGAATCAATGTTTGTGGGTTGGTGACTTCCTCGTTCCTAATTCAGCTGCTACTGGTCTCATGTCAGGGTAATGATTTAAAGGCTAACCAGCTGATGTAATATAAGGTGGATGATACAATGATAGGAATGACCCAGCAGGGTCTGTGTCTGTAACCCTTTAAGAGAGTGAGTATAAAAGGGAAGGCTTTTGCTGGAGTGTCCCTCTCTCATACATTTCCTGCTGTAATTGCTAGTGTGTTGGAGTTTGCTATATTACCATGTGTATGTATTTTGTTCCTAGTGTATATTGTAGATAGTGTAATATAAACCACCATTTATTATAGACCACTGTTTACTGTATTTACTCCTGGGTTATCTCAGTGCAATAAGACTGTGCATACTCTGACAGGTTATGGGCCCAGTGTGAGGAGAAAACCAGTGAGAGTTTGACTCAGATACAGATACAGGTTTGTGATTTGTTGTGGTTTATGATGGTTTAAAGAAGCAGGCAACATGGCTTCCATCAGCGTAATGGGAGGAGGTTTTGCAGTGTCTCGTCTGAATGAGACAAACTACCTCACCTGGAGTCTGAAAATGGAGATTTACCTGAGAAGGAAGGAGTTGTGGGTGATAGTTGCTGATCCACCTGTAGCCCTGGATGATGGGGACTAGAGAAAGAATGAGAAAGCATTGGCCAGTATAATCCTGAGTTTAGAGGATAGCCAGCTGATACACGTGAGGGGTCTCCAGTCTGCTAAGCAGTGCTGGGAAGCTTTGCGCAGTGTGTATGTGAGAGAGACTGTGAGCAGCAAAGTAATGCTGACAAGAAAGTTGTATAAACCATAACTGAAGCCGGGAGAGAGCATATCTATGCATTTGCAGTCCATGAGAAAGACATTCCTAGAATTAGAGGAAAGAGGGATGTCTTTTACTGAGTTACATAAGGTGTATGTGGTGCTCAGTTCATGGGACAATTCATGGGACGTCCTAGTGACCAGTTTAGAGTCCATGCAGGAGAAGGACTTAACCATGAGTTGTTTGACTGGCCAGTTGCTGGAGGAGGAACAGAAATAGCTGGAAAGGCAGCAGAGAGGGAGTGGCAATGTATAGACCAGGCTTAACACTGCAACGTCCAAAGTTGCCAGTAGAGCAGCCGAGAACATTTGCATGGTGAAATGCTGCTTCATGTGTGGTTCTACAGAGCATTTCCAGAGATGCTGCCCTGAGAGGAGAAACAGAGGAGCAGCGAGACAAGGTCATAGAGCTACACAACCAACATTTTCTCTGGCAACAACATTAACTGAGAAAAACACTTGGTTGTTGGACAGTGGGGTGAGTTAGCATATTGCAAATGATCCACAAATGTTTTCCAATTTTAGACCAGCTAAGCAAGCATTTGTTAGCTTGGCTAATGGACAACAGTCTGCTGTAAAAGGAGAAGGTAAAATTTATGTGCCTGGTATTGGGGAAACTTTGGATAATGTATTATATGTGCCAGAGTTAGACCATAATTTACTCAGTATTTCAAGCTTGGATAGTATGGGGTATGAAGTAATGTTTGCAAAGGGTCAATACACCATTAGGAAAGGTGGGAGGATTTGCACACAAGGTGTTAAACAGGATAATTTGTATGTACTAAGGAAGCAGCAGGATGGTTGTGCACGAACACTCACAAACACTCCCAAGCATGATAACTGTGTACATTTATTACATAGAAGGTTAGGACATGTGAGTTTTAAAGAGCTGCAGAGGATGCCCGACCTAGCTGAGGGACTTAGAATTAAAAAATGCAACACATATTTAGATTGTGCTATTTGTAAGGAGTCGAAGTCTAGTGTGTATCCTGTAAGAAAAGCACGAGACAACTAACAGGGTTTTGCAGTTAGTGCATGCTGATTTAATTGGTCCTATGGCGCCCTCTCTTGGAGGAGCTAGGTACATACTTGTCTTAGTAGATGACTACACCAGGTATGGGTTCTGCTAATTATTAAAGAACAAAACTGAAGTTCTACAACAGTTTAAGCAATGGGTGAAATGTGTAGAAAGAAGGTATGGCCATAAAGTATACCAGCTGCAAACAGACAGGGGAACAGAGTTCATGTCTGCTAATTTCCAAAGGTGGCTGAGAAATTTAGGCATAAAGCATAGACCAGGGGTAGGCAACCTTGACTCAGAAATTCTGGGAGTTGAAGTCCATGAGTCATAAAAGAGCCGAGGTTGCCTACCTCTGGCATAGACATACAAACCCTTGCACACCAGCAGAAAATGGAATGACTGATGGGAGAAATGGTATATTGCAGACCATGAAGGGCTCACTGTTGGCAGATGCAGGAATGAGTAACACATACTGGGGAGAAGCCATAAAAACAGCCAACTATTTAGTGAACAGGGTATGGAGTGTTACTATCAATGAAACTCCATATTACATGTTATATGGAAGAAAACTTTCATTGGCTCACCTAAGGACATTTGGCAGTTATGCCTGGGTGCATATCCCCAAAGGCACCAGAAGGAAAGGACAGAAAAAGCCCAGGAAACTTAGATTTGTTGGATATGAGCCAGGTTCCAAAGGATATAGATTTTCAGATAGAACAAGAAAGGTTGTGATTTCAAGGTCTGCTAATTTCGCAGAGCAAAATAATTGGGACAGGGTGCATGCTAACACCGAGGTGTTCATGCCAATAAGTAGCACTAGTTCTCAGGAAGAAGAGGCTACACAAAACCCAGTGAAGGAAGAAGGACACAATAATGAACTGCAATATAAGGCAGGAATGTACAGAGAGAAAAATTGTTCAATTGTTCAAGCCGATATGTTGACTAGGTTTTAAATGCAGGCAGGCATCAATGTATAAGCATTAGGGTTAACAGCTGTTTAGCTTTAAATGGGAGGAGTGTCAGGGTAATGACTTAAAGGCTAACCAGCTGGTGTTTTGTAAGGTGGATGATGCAATAATAGGAATAACTCAGTAGGGTCTGTGTCTGTGTCTGTATCCCTTTAAGAGACTGAGTATAAAAGGGAAGGCTTTTGCTGGAGTGTCTTTCTCTCTTATATGTTTCCTGCTGTAACTGCTGTGTGTTGGAGTTTGCTGTATTACCACGATATATATTTTGTTCCTAGTGTATATTGTAGATAATGTAATATAAACCACGATTTACTATAACCACTGTTTACTGTATTTACTCCTGAGTTATCTCAGTGCAATAAGATTGTGCATGCTGTGACATCTCACCTTGATTAAAGCTGAGCAATGACCCATATCCCATTGATATATCCTGGAAACATCTGGCATAGAACGAAAATAACTTTTTCTTAAAGCAGGAATGAGGTCAAGTAGATCGCCAAGTGCATTTAGGAAACTAATTTCAAAGTCAGTGAGAGGCTGAAATGAAAAAGATAACAATATACCTAAGATTCAGGTTTATCTACATGAATTTATCTACATGACAGGCATAAAGAATCCATGCCTAACCAGCCTGTGTTCAAATTGGAAATCTGAAAACCTAAAGAGCAACAGCAGTGATGTTTTAGTTTAAATATTCATATTAAAATTAAAAAATAGTAGTTCATAAAGAAAGTTCATAAAGGAAATTGGATCTAAAACTGATTTATCAGCCATGCTTTATTCAGACAACTTTACTGATTAGGATCCCATTTAGAGATAACCAGATACAGGACAAAAGAATATTTGTTATACAATGTTATACAATGAGTGAGCAAAAGAATTTTCTTGGTTCAGTCCCTGCAGATGTGAGGCTTCTGAGTAAAGAGTCTGAGTCTTTATCAGCAGATTCTGGTAGCTCAAAGTGCTCCTTACAGGTAGTCCTTGAGCTTCCGAGTCTCTGCCGCACAGGTGAAAGACAAACTGCCCTGTTTTGTTGCCTTAACAAGATTGCACAGTGCTGCAGAAATGGAGCCTGCTCATTACAATTGCATGTCGCAATGGTCATTAAGTGTCTGGATCCTAGTAGGGTGGGAATCAGGCTTAAGGACAGCTTAAGGACAGCAGGCAGAGACCCAGTGGGCGGGAGGGGGGAGAAGATAGGCAGAGTGGCACTGCAGCATCCATGTAGTTGATTGTAAGGGAGAATGCAGCAGCCATAACTACAGGACTGGGTCATAAGTAACTTTTGGGGTACCACCATAATTTCAAACAACTGTTAAGCTACCAAGTGTAAGTCAAGGACTACCTGTATTCATTCCCTGATAAAGGAGTTTCCATCATAGAAGAGCCAGAGAAAAATACATTCTGGGGGGGGGGAGAACTTCCTGGCTGTTGCCTTGTCCCATATGCCCCGATACAAAAGCACTCGACAGGAAGTGGTGAGTTCTGTCATTCCCGATAGGCAGCAAGCGAGGCAAGCAACAACTAGAAGGCAGGAGAAAAAGAGGAGCTCACCCCTCCACTGATGCCTTAGCACAACAGCTGAAGCAAGGGCTACAAACCGACACATGGTTTGTGGCTCATCAGAAAGAGCTGACCATGAGAGAGGGGCTGGCATGGAAGGGGGGCAAATTGTATGTCCCAGACCACCTGCAACTGCAAGTCCTGCAATGGAGCCACAATGCTATGCAAGCAGGCCACTTTGGGTTCCTGAAGACACTGCATCTTGCTAATTGTCAGTTCTGGTGGCAAAAGATGAAGAAAGACATCTATATGGGGAGCTGTGCTGTTTGTGCGGCCAGCAAAAGATTACCAGAGAACAATCCAGGGCTGCTGCAGCAAGTGGCTGACCCAGCCAGACCGTGGAAGGAGACAGCCATGGACTTTATAGTGGAGCTACTGGAAAGTGGGGGGAGCACTGTGATTTGGACTGTGATAGACCTATTTTCCAAACAGGTCCACTTCATTGCCTGTACTGCCCTCCCCTCAGCCAAGAAACTAGTGAAGATGTTTTTGCAACACATCTACCGACTGCATGGAGCACCTAAATGCATCATTTCAGATCGTGGGGTCCAGTTTACTGCTAGGTTCTGGAGAGAGTTTGTGAGGATGATTGGGTCCTTCCAGGGGCTCAGTTCTGCTTTTCATCCAAGTACAAATGGATCTGCAGAACAAGCTAATGCCATAGTGGAGTAGTACCAGCAAATGAACTGGGCAGAGTCGTTGCTGTTTGCAGAGATGGCATATAACAATGCAGTATATAGCAGTACTAGATTCACTCCTTTTAAGTTAGCAACAAGAGTGGAATTTGTGCCAATACTAGAGTGCCCATAGGAGCCTCCCTCCTCGAGCACCCTACGCGATTGGAAGGGTTTGTTCCAGCAGGTCTGGAGTGATGCGAAGAAGGCTTTAGCTAAGGCAGCTGAAAGTCAGAAAAAACAGGCAATTAAGAAACGAGCTCCCCAGGAGACGTTCCATGTAGGGGATAAAGTGTATCTGTCTACAAAGTATCTTAAGCTGAGACAAAGTTGCGAGAAATTAGAGCCAAAGTACATAGGTCCTTTCCCCATAGTAAAAGTCATTAACCCAGTAAGAGTAGAGCTAAAACTACCAAGGTTGTTGGGCAAAGTGCACCCAGTATTCCGCTGCAGCTTACTGAAGCCACACAGGAGATTAACACTGAGACCAATAGTGATAGAAGGGGAAATGCATTATGAGGTTAAGTGAATCCTCAATTCCAGAATCCACAAAGGGAAGCTGCAGTACTTAATCCAATGTCAGAATCTAGATGGGTAAAAGCATAGCACATAAAATTGGATTGTTTGGTGAAACAATTTCATACAAAATACCCCTGGAAGCTGGGACCAGTACAAGGGAAAGATTAGCAAGCATTGATGTGTATTCTTTTTGTTTTCCAGGTTCCCTTTTCTTCCAGTGGGGTGACCTGTCAAGCTATGAAACCTACTGTCTTTAGAACTGCTGTATGCTTCTAGCTTGCCAACAGTGTGGGAGGGAAAGAGGGGAGAATTTTGGATCCACAGGTGCTCCTTATCCATGTGAGAGCGAAGCCATTGAAGAGCTGTTTTGGCGAACTAAAGTTTCTTCTCATAATAATTACTGAGAAAACCAAGATCATGGCATCCAGCCCTCTCAATTCCTGGCAAATAGATGGGGAAGAAATGGAGGTAGTGACAGATTTTACCTTCCTGGGCTCCAAGATCACCACAGATGGGGACTGCACCCAAGAAATTAAAAGACGCTTGCTCCTGGGGAGGAAAACTATGGCAAATCTAGACAGCATACTAAAAAGCAGAGACATCACCCTGCCAACAAAAGTATGTATAGTCAAGGCCATGGTTTTCCCAGTTGCAATATATGGCTGTGAAAGTTGGACCATAAGAAAGGCTGAGCGCAAAAGAATTGAGGCCTTTGAACTATGGTGCTGGAGAAGACTCCTGTGAGTCCCCTGGACTGCAAGACGATCAAACCGGTCAGTCCTAGAGGAGATCAACCCTGACTGCTCTTTAGAAGGCCAGATCCTGAAGTTGAAATTCAAGTACTTTGGCCACCTAATGAGAAGGAAGGACTCACTGGAGAAGAGACTAATGCTGGGAAAGATTGAGGGCAATAGAAGAAGGGGACGACAGAGAATGAGGTGGCTGGATGGAGTCACTGAAGCAGTAGGCGTGAGCTTAAATGGACTCCAGAAGATGGTAGAGGACAGGAAGGTCTGGAGGAACGTTGTCCATGGGGTCGCGATGGGTCGGACACGACTTCGCAACTAACAACAACATATTGAACAATATGACCTGAATTGTCAGAGAGGGAAAGGAAAATTTCACTCTTTTAATTAACTGCTTCCCACCATTTTCTCGGAGCTAGCTTCTTTTCTATTGATTTGCTAATGCCTAATAAAGTTAACATTAAAGAAAGCAATGACTCTGGTGTTTTGCTTCGTTGGGCTTCTCAGCTGGAACTTGACATTAGGTATGAGGCAGAGAAAATTTAATTCATTTGCCAATATTAAAATTGGAGAACAAACAAAATAGCTGGGTGTATACAAATAAGTCTCCAAATATAACTACACATAATTATCCAAATAGTATTCAAATATCTTATTTTTGTTATTTTAAGAAATATATCACTTTTAAATATATCATTTGAATACAAATTCAACAATAAAACAGTACCTGACTATCAATATAGAGTAAAAAATTACATATTGATTATTATAAAATCTTTCAATGTTAAAGAACAAATATGCTGCTTACTTTGTCCAATAGAGTTATCCAAAATATGAAGAAACAAGTAGTCTTTTATTTGTCTAACAGGTTTCTATTTTCATCATTTGCAAAGAGTATAATTTAATACTGTTCTCATGATTTTGCCTGGCATAGTGAAAAAAATGAAACAAACTACATATTTTAAAACTGGGTTTTTATGTATATTAACAAATAAGGCACTAAAAAGAGTACATTCCTACTTATAAGATCAATGCAAAATGTATGCATTTGTTGGGGAAACACTGTCAGTATTTTGCATTGAACAATATTTCTGCCAGTGGCATCATTGGCAAATCATTACAAATACAGCTAAATTAAGGCTGGCGGGGGGGCAGAGGGGGATAGATGCTTATTAATACGGTGAGGGCCAAAAGGATAGGTATTTCCTTCTTTTGAATATGGATTATTAGCCCAACGGTTAATCTTAAATCAAAAATACAGGCAATTATTTGGGTTTACTTCTAGAACTTAAAAGTAGAGGCCAATAGTTTTCAACTGTTATGTTACTTCTACTTCATAAAAATGTTTTTATTAACATTATGTATAGAGTCAAGAAATACTTTTCTGTAAATCGCTTTCAGAAAAATTAATTCAAGGGGGATAAATGCTATTTTCACTTCAAATGATATTGACCCTGATTCCATTAGCCCCACGCTCCATATTTTCTTGCAGTGCTGAGTCAAAGAAAGAAAATTTGTTTAGTTATTCATATCTTTACTGTCGTGCTGTGCCTGAGTATGGAAATAAAGGTGAAAGCTTTATCCAGTGAATTCTCCTCCTGCTAATTCACAATGGCAACATTCTGTTGACTCTCAGAAGGTCACCCAGCCCATACAAAAATTAGAGCAATAATGACAGCACCTTCCGAGTGTGGTATAGCAACTGCAGAGAGACTTTCATCTTCCATCTAAGCTTCCTAAATGGTTAGAGAATTCTTGAGTAACGCTCCACTGTAATGCTGTACCAAGTTCTATATCAAATGGAACAGCTGTAACATAAAGGATGTTTTACATATTCAGTATAGAAAGCAGAAAGACTTGGTCTTAACTTGAATCTTAAACTAAACTCTATTTCCCTTTCTGAAAATTAAAGACAACATATTGCTTCTTACTGTCCTTTTCTGCCGTTTAGCCCATTCCACGTTTCCCATGTACAGCCCATCCAGCTGAGCAATAACGTAGCCTGCATTTCTCCAGAAGGGGTCATCCTTGTTATTTTTAATCTGTTGCCTCGTCCACTCATCTTGTTTCCTATATAGGAACAAATCTGAGTTTAAGATATATATTTTATCAAAACTACTGAGATTTATACTTAAGGTTTGCTCTATTCTATGACTCAGTGGGACTTTCTTACAAATAAATATGTTTAGGATTATGTTGTCCTCAGGCTATTAAACAATTAAGTCACAGAACAAAGGACAAACTACATCAAGTCACCCTTCAACGTGCTGCTTTGATCATTTCAAACATCACAGATTTCAAACATCACTGATAATTTCGAACATCACAGATAACTCTGCTAAATATAATGATCGCTAAACTGCTGGAGACCCTGACTCGGCATCAAAACCAAAAAGGCTTGTGGCATTTTAGAAATGTAGTAAATCGATTATGTCATAGCCTTTCCTTGTATCACATGCTTTAGCTTCAGTTCTTGCAGAGTCATGTTAATTCTGTTTGTCTGCTCCTCATTTAGTTATGTATTGCTGGAGCAAGTGGAATTAGCTTAGTAAAGCATTCAATAACTGGGGATTGTTAAAGCCGTATTATGGTACTTGTTTATTGCTACTTATGAATAGAAACATTTTTGACAATAGAATACATACTGCATAAAATCTTTAACTTTTTGTTCAATGATGACATTCTTAATCATCTGAGGATAGAGATTTGCAAAATGGTCACTCATGTGCCTGAAAGAAATATGCAGGAAATATTTTAGTCCACTTGTTTTGCCTTCCCAATATGAATATACTGTATAATATACAAATTTGATGCATTTTATTACTTAACTTGTATCTTTAGTACAGCAACAGTTGTGACATTCTAATATAAAGAATAAGAAAGACTGCACATAATTTCATTCTGTATGTGAAATAACAATAAGCAGGCTTCCCACCCTACTCACAGTAACCCTAAGTAAAACTATATATGTCAAGTTATTTTTATAAGATTTTCTTAAATTAGCTTGAATCTTCTCTCATTTAGTGCTACAAGCAGCATGCTAAATCTGCCCAATAATCTTGGTTTGCCTCCTCAAAACTATAGGCAAAACAACAAACCATAGAGATAAAAAAATGAAGAATGAATTCAGAGAATAAAAATAATCTGGAAAGAACTCCATATGGATTTTCATAGTTTGCTCATAGCAAACCTTTTGTCTTCCAAAGGACTTACAGGAGTTTATATGTAGGTTTGCAGATTGAAAGTAGTTGTGTATTGTCAATAAAATAGTTAGTATTCTCTTTACAACACAGGTATACAATATAATTAAATTAAATGCAGATAATATAACTTTTTTCATTTGTGTTTGTTTCATATGCATTTCCCTCTCCCATGTTAATGTATTTTGCAGGGGAGTGGGGGGGGTGTAGAGAAGGATTTGGGGGCCAGCATGCAGCCCTGGGGTCAAAGTGCATCACTGACGTAAAAGTTAGATATCTGAAATAATAGATTTGTACAAAATTGTGGGAGTTGAAAGCCATATATCTTAAATATGCCATGGCTAGGAAACAGTGTAATAGACTGTTCTATGGATTCTAGACTGCAATGACATTTCAGTAGGAGACTATTTGTCACATCATTAGGTTATTTTTTAATTATTGTAATTTCAATAGGATTTTCTTGCATTATACTAGTATTACTGGAGATAAGAAAATGCACTCTCTCCTTTGAGTATGCACCTTTGACAAAAAGAGAAGCAAGCTTTGAATGACATATCACATGCAACCTGGAGTAGTGGCATGCAATACCAACATTATATTGCGACAATTTTGACTTTTAAAAAATGCTCTGAGAGTACTGTGATACTTCACGGTACCATTTCATTGAAAGAGCACTAACCTAGCCTTTCTAAAGAAGAGGAAAAGGTGCAAGCATCAGTATACAAGCAGTCTCTTTATATTTGTGAGAGGGAGAAAGAGAAGCTCAACATTTTGTAATGTGGAGATGATTTCAATATTGTCTAAGACCACTACATCTCCAGCTGAAACCTTTTTGTAACTTAAATAATTTATTTTTCTGATTATCAGTGTTCCCCTTAATTTATCACAAAACCTGCGCTAACCCAAAATAATGTCCTCCAATATGTCTATGGATATTCTCAATCATCCAGGTCAGGGTTGCTCCAATGGTGCTTTTTCCGAAAGGCAACTAGACTTTTTTGGTGTTTTCCTTTGAAAACATTTTGCTTCTCATCCAAGAAGCTTCTTCAATTCTAACATTATAACAGTTCTAACAATTACAATGGAAGCAGCTTCTTGAATGAGAAGCAAAATATTTTCAAAGGGAAAAAAGCCAAGAAAGTCCAGTTGCTTTTTGGAAAAAGCACTTCTAGGTGCCCTTCAAATTTTGGACCTCAAATTCCCAACCTGTAAATCTAGAATAACTTAAGTTTGGGAATGTTTAGTCAAGACATCACTTGCCTTAATGCCTTGTTAAGTTACAATTCACACGAGGAAGAGAAACACAATCAAATTTGCAAGATTCTGTTATGGTAGCTCAAAATGGATTTATGTCTCTATTTTGGAGGCAAGTTATTTTGGAACTTGTGAATACAGCTAAGTAAGTAACAAGGGAGTGTATTTTTTTCAATAATCCCAAAAGTTCAACCCTCATTTTAGATCATCAATTAAGCAATGTCAATTTAGTTTATCAAACTACTTACGAAGCAGTGAGGTAGCCTTCCAAAAAACCTGCAGCATACATGAGTATTTCATTGCTTATGGGCTGATTACCATAGCCTGCTTTGATCTCAAGAATCCCCCATCCAGTAGATTGTATAGTGTCATTGTAATAGCCATAAGCATCGCCATTCTTGTCTAATACATCCTTAATTTGGAAAGATTTTTCAGCTTCCAACCAATATACAGTAGCATAGTGGATATCTGTAAGGATACAAAGAAGATCATTAGAAAATCAGAATATAGTATTAAAAACTCCAATTCCTTGATTATGAAAAAATTATAAAGAGGATGATGGGTGGAAGATATACTTTTCTCAGTCATTGTTTGTAGTTAGAAATCTGTTTCCTTCCATGCAACATTCTAGTCCAGGGGTGTCAAACTCAATTTCATTGAGGGCTGCATCAGCATTGCGGTTGCCGTCAGGGGGCTGGGTGGGTGTGGCCAGGGTGGGTGCGGCCTACTGGGTGGGTGTGGATAGAGTGGGTGTGGCCAGCTCTACATCGTTCGCGTCAAGGGTGCCTGTGGGGGCCTGGGCAGGAGTGGGACAGATCTGACAGTCTCTGGCAGAAGGGGGTGGGACCAGGGCAAGTGCCAAGGCATGGTCCACTGGAGGAGCCTCACTGTTCCTCTCAGGCCATGCAGGGGGGGGGCTTATGGAGCTAAGACTGAAAGGCCACCACAAAATTGTACATTGGCTCCCAGCCGGCCTGGGACAGGGCCAAGGCAGAGGGGGCCGTTCTCTCACTGTTTCCAGGATGGCTTCGCGGGCCACATGAAACCACTTCGCGGGCCACATCCGGTCCTGGGCCTTGTGTTTGACATGTCTGTTCTAGTCGCTTGTCTTGGACTTGCAGTTTAACAGAGGATGGTTACATCCTTATTTGATCTTAAAATCACTCATATAAACAATACAGAATGCATTCCAGTCAGATGGAAAGTCACCATTATAGTTCGCTTACCTAAACAGATGAACCAAAAAACTATATACCAATACGTTTTATTGGAATCGTGGCTAAAAATTTTTTTTTTTCAAAGAAATTTTATTTATTTTTTCAATCATAAAAAACAATCATAAGTAAACACAATAGTGGCTAAATTTTTTGATAAGGTAGCAACCCTATTTCCAGTAATCAGTAATCTTTCACGAGAAGTTGGAATTGATTGATTGACCTTTTTTTCCCCAAAAAACCTTCCTTTGTTTCCTTGCACGTGGCGGTGGCGGATTGCGAAGGAAAAACGGCACAGGGCTGGAAGTCAGGTAAGAAAAGAAAGGCAATTTCTGGGGGGAACGAGGATTTCTTTCCTTACCTGCCCCACTTGTTCCAAGGTTGCTTTCCGCTCAGACGTGTTGCTCTTGCCAGTGGCCCGACCGCCCACTTCAGCGCCCTCTCTCCCCAAGCCTCTGGCATTCCAACTGCTGCTTTGGTCAGCCTGCTGGCCCCCACCTCAACACCTTGCCCACTGCCGCCCAGCACGGCCGCCCCAGGGGTGCAGGGGCTGGCCTGGCATGGGAAGGGCATGCGCCCCACAATCCCACCACCATGCAGGGTAAGGTTGCCGCACCCATCCCTGCCCAGATGCCTTCGCCTCCCCCAAGTGTTTTTTTACTAACCTGCCTTTCAGCTGCATTCCGTTCGCTTCTCACCCTTCGCCGCGTGTTTGTGGGACTATCGGTAAAAAAAAAAGTTCCCTCAGACTTTCTAACTTCTTGAGATCTCGCGAGAAGTTAAAAAGTCTGATGGAACTTGTTTTTTTACTGATAGTCCCACAAACATACGGCGAAGGCTAAGAAGTGAACGGAGAAATGGAATGCAGCTGAAAGGCAGGTTAGTAAAAAAAAAATGCTTGGGGAGGTGGGTGTGGGTGCGGCAACCTTATCCTGCGCGGGAATTGATGCAGGTTGCTCATGGATGGGATTGAAGGCCTAGGACTGGGGACAGGATGAACATGAGAGACAGAGCTCAGAGCAAGGGCCACTCCCTCTGGATCCTAGAGCACGGAGAGTGGAGAGAAGGTAGAGAAATTAAAAGACTGGAGATAAAAGATGAAAAATATAAACTACAAGCATTTGCAGACAACTTGGTTTTTATATTAGAAGAACTGCTTGAAACAAACATCAAGCTTATGGAGAAAATAGAAAAGGTTGGAGAAATAGCAGGGTAGAAAGTAAATAGAGAAAAGACTAAAGTTTTAACTAAAAATCTTACAGAAAAACAAAAAAATTAACTAGCAAAAAAACCCAAACCTCCAAATAGTTAAAAAAGTTAAATATTTGGGAATCCATTTAACAAGATATGCAACAATAAAAGAAAATAACTACATAAGATTATTAAAACAAATAAAATTAGATCTGGAAAAGTGGAAAAATCTACAACTTTCGATGCTGGGGAGAATAGCAACAGTGAAAATGAATATCTTACCAAAAATACTTTTTTTTATTTCAAACAATACCTATAAGATTGGGAAAAACCTTTTTTGATGAACTAAATACAATAATACTGAAATTTATTTGGAGGGGAAAAAAGCCAGAATTAGACTGAAAATGCTACAAGAAGCAAAAGAAAATGGAGGATTTGGACTGCCAGACTGGACATTATACTACCAAGCATCTATTTTAACTTGGCTTAAAGAATGGATAATGCTTAGAGACAAAGGATTGCTATACCTAGAGGGACATGACCTACAACTTGGATGGCATGCCTTTCTGTGGTATGGGAAGAATAAAATACATAGATATTTTCAAAATCATTATATAAGAAATGCACTTTTCTTAGAATGGGAAAAAATAAAAGCGAAAATTTATATTAAAATACCTGGATGGCTTTCAACAATGGAAGCGTTTGCTTACCCAAACTTGATTAATTACAAGAAAGTTGTGACCTATAAAGATATTCTGGACAATGAAGGGAAACTGAAATATAGACTAGATTTAGAAGAGCAGGGTATTGATTTATCATGGTGGTCATATTTGCAAATTCAAACAAGATGTGAAAAAAATGTTAAAACAACAGGATTTTACAAAGAACAGACAGAATTTGACCAGATACTGCTGAAAACAGATGAAAAGCTGATTAAAAAACTTTACAAACATTGTTAAGCTTAAAGATGGAAGAGGAACAAGTAAAAGAAACAATGATAATATGGGCAAAGAACTTTGGATATAATACAGGATTAGAAAATTGGCAAAACTTATGGGAAAGAAACTTTAGAATAATGAAAGCGGCATCCTATAAAGAAAACCTATACAAAATATTTTATAGATAGCAAAAATGTTTAAAAATATGTCTAGTAAGTGTTGGAAATGTAAACAAAAACCAGGTACTTACTATCATATCTGGTAAACATGCTCTAAAGCTAAAAGATTTTGGTCAAAAATACATATATGGTTAGAGAAAATGATTAAAAAACATATAGACTTTAAGCCAGAATTGTTTTTGTTAGGCATAATAGTAGGAAAATATGAGAAAGAATGTATATACTTAATTTTACATGTATTAACGGCAGCAAGAATAGTATTTACTCAATATTGGAAAAATGAAAATCTACCAACAGAGGAAGAATTAATTAAGAAAATTTTAATTTGTGCAGAAATGGACAGGTTGACATTGAAGATAAAAGAGAAAGAAGATTCAGTATACTTTAGAACATGGGACAATTTTTATCAATGGCTAGAAAAACGAGTTAGAGAGAAAGGAACATAATGTGTACTATGTAACATTAAATATGTATTAGTAAGAAGAAGACTATCTGGAGAAGAGAAGGTTTAAGAAATATATTATTAACTAACATATTGATTATGAAAATATAGAAACTAATTATTATTGATTGTTTTCTAAACACATGAATCCAGACAACATGCTGTTTGCTAAATACTAAAAAATGTTATTTTATAAAAATTTATATTTTTATATATTTTATATTTTATATATATTTTTTATATTTATTTATTCTTTCAAATAGAAGAACTAAATAATTTCACTTCCTCTATTATTATTGCAAAACCATTTTCAATCAGTACAAAACCACAGATAGAAAACATGAACAAATGAAACTACCAGTTTCATTTCTGCCACAAAATTAACAGCCAAAATACAAAAGACCAGAGATACTATTTTAATATGTACAGTTCTCTATTTTTTAAATACAGCTTTATATATTTTGTAAATTTCAAAAAAGTTTTCAAAATTTTTGAATCTCAGACACCCAAATAAGTATATCTAAAATGTAACATTGGCTCAAAGTTATTTTGCTTGCTATCTTTGTGTTTCATCATTGTTGCCTCTAACTGCCTTTGCTGAATTCAGTAAATCTAGGCAGTCAGGGATACCCAGCATATTTTGGACTCAAAATTTTCCATAGCTTCAGTGAACTTTATATTTCCTATACCCACTTGTGTTACAGTGTAGCACTATTTTTAGTCCTGTTAAATTGGTTTAAGATTGAAATAATCCCCTGGTGTTACAGGTATGGGAGCCATCGCCTTCATAACTATTTTGTGACTTCTTAAAGGCACCTTACTGATACTATATAAGTACAATGAATCTGGCGAATTTTCAGCTTTTTTTTCATTCTGCTTTCTGTCTTGTCTGTTGCAATTGTCCTCCATAATGTATTCCCTTTTGTGGGATTGCCACAAACCTCAGCAGCCCTAAGTTAGATAGTCCTTGATAACAAATGGAAAGATGGAGTTTCTCCAGTTAAGCTGCTTTTTAATATGCAGAAATTTAAAGAAGGATCCTCAAGACCACCAATTCCAGATAGGAACTGGTAATTGCCTCTCAGAGTTACTAGCTAAACAATTAAGAAACAAGCAGTTTTGAATTCTGGTGCTTGTCATGCAACTTCCAAAGACAGCACAGTTAGCAGACCTATTCAGATTTCTCCCAGGACGTTTTCCTGCTTAAACTAAGCCACAACAGGAATATGCCCTGGTAACTTTTCTGCTGTTTTTCATGATATTGCCTTCAACTTAATCCTCAAATACCTAAGCCAATTCAAAGTTTTCCTTAGCTGTTCTGATGTTAAAGTAATGCTTTCCCTTTAAGCAGGCCACAAGATGTAGTAATTTGGGAGTACAATCTGAACCATATTACCATTATGTTGTCGGTTGTCCTTAGTGAGCAGAATCTGAATTTTCCCTTTTCTCTAGCCCCATAGTTCTTAGTTTAATCCATTTCTCTCCCCAATCAGGTTCTGGACTG